ACGCCGCTGGAATCCAGGCTGCAAGGGATGCTGAACTGCGCCTTCATTAAACATTTAGATCCCAACGTCTGGGCTAAAATCTACAAGCAAACGCTTTCAAATCTTTTTCATGATATTTTGAATGTCAACCATTTGCTGTTAGTGTATGATAAGCTGATTTAAAGTCCCATCCGCTGCTGTGGAATGCTTCTCCTGACATCTGGCCGTGCCGACAGGAATCCATTGCCCTCAGCTACGGTGCATTGATAGTTATTTTGCACCCAGCACAAAAATCTGCTTGCCTAACATTCATGTACAGCCTCCAGTAAACTTATAAAGAAATCCATTATTTTGATGCTTTTGGTCTCTTCCAGCTGTGCAGCTTGTTCTGAAGTCCCCCCTTTAGGAAGACAGCCACATTATTGTCAGTATTTCTACGATACTTGGAGAAAAAAAAGCGGTTTTCATTTTTAAAAAGATCTTCAAAGATATAATTCTGTAGAGTCAGTCTTGAGGTCTAATCTTTAGATCCATTTACATAAATGAAACTGAGCCAGCTTTTAGATCAGCTATGGTTAATTTCTATGCAGCTAAAAGAATTACATACAAACCAGCATTATCTGTACAAAATTACCTTGGATCTGCTTTTAAGCTTTCTTCAGTTTTTGAGCTGAGCTAAAATTTGTATTCAATCCCACAAATACTAAAGACCAATGCAAAATAAGTATATTTCATTGGAGAAGCAGACACATTGCACTGCACATTTAAGTTACATCTGGCTCTTAATTAATTCAGTTGGAAAATAGTATCAAAAGAATAATTTTTTCTTTAAAGGAAATCACTTATAACAGAAATATTGGTACTCCATTTGACTTAGACCGATATCTTGGGGTTAAGGAGTCCCTCCAATGACTATTAGATGCAGTCTACTCTTTTGTGAGAATGTTAGAAAACAACTTTTTCTATCATTCCTTCCCAAATGGGACATAATTATACGTTACGGCAAAAAACAGTCCAGAAGAGTTTAGGGGAAACGAAAGGTGTCCAATGTTAGGGTGGTGGATTTGTGGTGCTGTGGGCCTGCATCACTTCTAAAGGCATTTAGACCTTGCTACAGTGCATGACATTGACTCATTAAAGTGTCCAGATTTATATATAGTGAGCCAAAACACACACTGACACAGAAACAGATCCCTACTTAGAAATGCAACCTGCTGTTATGGTCTAACCATGCAAAAGCCAGATTGATACAAGAAGAGTGATACAGAAGGCTGCTGTAGAGACTATTCACAAAAAAGGGAAGAGCATTCAGTGGAATTCTGGGTAAATCCAATGGTATCTGCCTCTCATGTCGCGTTTTTGGCCAATCACAGCAGCAGTAGCCGCTTGATTTGTTTCACAACTAGCAGAGTTAACTGATAGGTCAAACTCCAAGGAAAGCTCCACAATCTTACCATTCAAACAGGGCAAAAACTGATTCCTTTTGCAGAAAGGACGCAGAAATAGAGGTGTTCCCAGCTAAAACTGCTGCAGACATGTTTGTTTCACTTTAGCCTTCCACCCCTGGTTGACACGTTGATGTACATTTCATTGGACAGAAACATTTCTGTAGAGGCAAACATATCTTGCTTGCAAGTTAAGTCACAGCAATCTCAGTTTCCAGACTTAAATCCTAATTCTAGTAAACCTTAAGAGTGAGACTGGATGATCGACGGAGGAATGTCAGCATTAAAAGCCAGAATCTTAATTGTGCAACCATTAACTTTGCTAAAAATGATAAAAAAGTTAATATTTCCTCTGCTAAACAAAATAACCTTAACTATAAGGTTACAATTTTCCCAGATGTTTAGTTAAACATAAATTTTTAAAGGATTATAAAGGGATCTTTAATTGCTTTTGCGGTTGGGGAAAGCAACGTTTTTGCTTTGCAGCAATGTCAAATCCTTCCTAAAAACATGCTTTATACTTTCATCAGTTTCTGGGGAATTTTTAGATGTGTCATTCCCAACTTCCTCAAGGAAAAAAAAAATGAAGATGGAAAGAAAAAATAAGTCACAACCTCTGTTGTCATGAGAATCGAGACAAGTTCTTGGCAGCACTGAAAGCGACTTGGATGAGTCGATGAAGTGTCCTCTACACAGCGACAGCAGCATGTCTGCTGCTTCTACCAATTTCAACATTAGTCCTCTCTCTCTCCACACACACACACACATATTATCCTACAAAATATGCATGCAGTCATGTTGAAAATTTGCATGATGGGCGCATCTGGGCTCAAGTGTGTGCATGTGTGTGTCCCTCCGACAGCAGGCTGATTAAGCTGTTGCATAGTAATGAGCTATGGCTGTCTGTCTTGCAGCTGCTCTTTTTACAACAAAGCCTCCCACTCACACACACAAAGAAATAAACAGAATCATTAAAACAAACACAAAAAAATAAAAAATACCACAAAGTCCATCACTGATCCATTGTTTTAGAATGTGTAATCATTGAGAAATTGGTGCTAATACAGATGAGAATTAGTAATTCACTTAAGAGGGTGTTTATGGAACAACAGTGTCCCATAGCAGGAGAGCAGTGCCGCACTTCCTCCCCTTTATGCCTTTCTATTGTTATTTTCAAAGGCTACCGCTTTTGGAACAACTCCGATTTCCTGCTTCACATTTCCAATGATATAAAAAATTTCTTAATAAACCGTGCACCTAAATTATGTTAATGTGCAGGTATCTATCAATCTATGGTGTCTATATTACATGGTAATAATTTAGATCTAGGTAGAAATGAGTGAGTTTCAAAGTAGATTAAGGTTTTAGTAAAATTGTCTCAAAGGAGCAAATATTTACTACCTTTAAAAAGTTTAAAGTCCTTCGTGAAAATGAGTAATGGGAACACTGTTTATCATCTAGCATTGATGAAAAGACTGCAAACAGCTGTCTGTCTCGCAAGTTGTTTTACTTTTTTAAGGATGTGCAGCATAAAACTCTCCCTGTATGAAAACCTTAGGTAAAAACACCAGCTTAACACTTTTAAACTACAAAAAATACATACTTTTCACTGATAACTACAACAAAAGCCTGTTTTTCTCTTGATTTGAACATATTTAAACACTATAAGAATGTTATTCAACATTGTGTTTCCTTACATAATCAGAAATTAATAAGACAAAGTGCAGAATTTAGTTACTTTCAAATCCCTGCAAACAATATTTAATTTTTTTCGTTCTTTATTACAAAATATACCAAGTAGCCATTAGGTAAAAGCTACCTTGATTAGGATACTTAATTTTGATCATCTCCTTCAAACAGAAATATCCTTATTTAGCCAGCTTTAACTATATTTATGCAAGCAATAAGTCCACAATCTTTCTGAGAAAATGGAAGCAATGTTGTACTTTTTGAACACTCTTCTCTTTAAGTTTTAAACCGTACAATCAGAACAATACCAACTGCCAGGGCATGTTATTGATTTGATTTCCCTTTGGGATTAATAAAGTATTTTTGAATAAAACTGATTTTATGGAATAAAACCCACTAAAAAGGGATACTTTTGAATTAAACTGCAAGCTTTAAATGTAGTTTTCATACATATGAGGTTATTAACAAAACTATAACTTTTTTTACTGTCATTAAACTCTCACAAGTAGTGAGCAATGAAATTAACTCTCCTGCATTTAACCTATCCCATAATTCCAAGTCGTATTGTAAAAAATTAAATACTCAAATACATTGTTCTTTTAAGATCTTTATTGCATTTCGAAACACATTATATGAGTGTATTTTTTTACCAAACGTCTTATGAACTATACACAGCTATTAACATAGTAATTAAAAGTACCACTGCTTTGCTTTTGGTGGCGTGTTTAAACGGCTCACCATCATGTTGAAATCTGTTATGTGTTGCGGTATAAATACAGTCCGGTCAGTCATCCTAGTATCAGGTGGGTTTAAGAGGAATTATTTCCACCATTTAATCTGCAAAGAGATGTCCTAGTCTACAAATGCGTAGGGGACCAACCAGGTGTCAGTAATGGGGCCCCTAAGCAACGGAAGTCTCTGCTTCCAAGCCTTATGCCCCAAGCACTAGGGCACCACTGCCCCCTAAATTTGGCAAAATGAACACAAATACATACCCCTCCTCAACTGCAATAAGAACAAAAGCTTTCATAAGGCGTTATGTATGTGTAATAAAACAGGCACAATTAAATCTATAAGAAAACTACAGCTGAAATCCATGGGTGGTTCTAGACAGGGGCCAAAGGGGACCAGTCATGTCCTGGCACTGATAGGTCCTTTGGATCTATTTCATATTTTTTCTTTACAAATTATGTTTTATAATTATTTAAAAACAATAAGGTGATAGTTTCAATGGTATTGAGATAGGATCCCAGTTTTCATCTGCTAAATGTTTTTTTTTTTCAAAACAAATAAAATGTTTACAGCTGAATTTATCAATTTTTCTTGACTTCTAATTCAGATTTCATATAAAATGGTCATTTTAACTTAAATTAAGTGAAAAATATGTAAAATTCCTAAATTATGAATGTATACTGACCTCATTAGAAATTAAATTTTTATTAACCCTAAACCTAATGAATAGAAATTTCACTTCATGCAGCTTTCTTAATATATTTGCATCCCTTACAATGTTTTTTTTTTATTTCATGCTTTTCTGTGCACCAAGAAAACACGCTGGCCCCCTCCTGGCCCCCTGGTGCATTTGGTCTAGAACCGCCACTGCTGGAATTTTTGTTTTGCAAACAAAACAAAAATTAAACACGTGGCTGCAAACTCTTGACAACTACTTAACCCATGCTTGTATAAAGCAAAGTAAGAAAAGCTTAAAAATGCGTCACTAACCTTCAATAAATTATACTTTTATTCATGTTAAGACACAGAGAGGATGATCGTGACAAAGTGTCGTTTTGTTATATGGAAGGGGGAGGCATCTATCCATCCATCCATCCATCCCTAGGGACCCACTAATCCCAAACACATAAAACCTAATGCTATATCCAACCTTACCTGGTTGACGTCCCCTTCCTCACATCACACATCATGCACTTAAAAGCCTCTGCCGTGTTCTTGTAGGTGCATACGCTGCAGTCCCAAAACCCCTCGTCGGAGGAGGGCTTCGGTTGACGCTTCGGTCTTTAAAGACAATAAATGTGGAGATGAAGGAGAGAAAAGACAGCAGTTATCAGCAAAAGGAAGGGGGAGAAGGAAGCAAACCTATTTTCAAAGCCTAAAGGATAGAGGAAACCATCGTCCATCCGCACGCGCGCCGTGTTCTGACACTGTAATTGCCGATGAGGGTTTTTTTTTTTTTAACACCCGCGCGCGGCTACATGGCACGCGCTCATACACGAGAAGGAGAGGGAGAGACCGAAAGAGAAAAGCCCATTTTTTTTTCCTCCCCCTCCTCCGTGTGCTCTCGCCTCTTATGTCCGCTCCCCTCCCTATTTTAGGACGCGCTGCTTACCTTGTGGGGCTCCGCTTGTCGCCCATGCCAGACCAGGGTTTATCTGGAGGAGCTGGGACGAGCACAAGTCGTTTTATTTTCCAGATTATTTCAGGGAAAGAAGCGATGCGCCTTTTTACCCGCTCGGCTTCCAGCTGTCGTGGAAACTCCGCTTGGGAAATCGGCACGTGACTCATGGTGGCCAATCAGAGCCCGGATATTTCCTTAGGCTGACATTCCTCTCGATCTCATGCTGCGTTCACGGACTCCTCAGAATATCGTAGATGTTATATTTAACGAAATACATATATATAAATACATATATATTAGGTATTAAGTATTCATTCATTTACATACAATCGAAAAGTTATAATCACTTTACTGTATAATCATATTGTATATAATATATATTAATATATTTTTTTTCCTTCAGTATTTCTGTGTTATCAATATTCTGGTGAAATATTCTGATCTCAAATACAGTGTTTGATGATTATAGTTAACAGGAACTAGATTAAGAAAATTTGACATATTACCCCTTAATTGTGCCTCATAATTGATCACAGCATTAATAACCCTTACCACCATTTATTGCATTAATGCAATAAAAGGTTGGATAAGGCTGAGGTACAGTGTCCGGGACCTTGATTTCCAATCTAAGATGCAAAATTTGCTTTAATTAGTAAAAAAAAAAATGACAAAAACAAAACAAAAATGGAAACAAAGCAACATTTCAGTCCCCTTTCTCCTTAGCCCAGATAAGATGCCTCTGGTTCAGGATTGGCTTCAAAACAAGAAATAAAACCACTGCAGCTTGTCCTTGATACCTCTTGAATCAGGGCTGTTGAAGCTGTGATTCCAGCAGCACCACACTCTTGAATGAGCTTTGCTTCACCATCATCTCAGATATTCGGTTATCAGTTTCCGATGCACAGTTTTGTCTTTCCACTAAACATCACATTAATTTGCATGGGTAGAGCACTCTTTAAAGTGAGCGCTTTGCGGAATTTTCCTTTAGTAGATCATTTGTTAAATTAGCATTGTTACAGATGATTAGGTAGGCCATGACCTAAATATAATAATTTAACTGTTTTCATGTCATACTCAAATGATCCTTTTCATAAGAATCTCATTCTGTTTAGTTTCCTATTGGTTATAAGCCATATCCATCAGTTAACAGAATAATGATCTAAAATGTATTATTTTGCATATACAGTCAAATTCAATAATTCCGGATAAGGGTTTTAGTGCAGCTTGCTGATCAGTTTAAAGTTATCTTTTTATTATTATTAATACTTTTAAACAGATTTCTGTATTTATTGTTCTGGTGTAATGTTTTCATTTTAAATACAGTGTTTATATTAGCTGTACGTAAAGTGGTATTATACATCACTCCATGTGTAATTGAGCTATAAAGTGTTTCAATTAGTCAAAGTTTTTTGAATAAATGAACACTTCAATATTCTAAATTATTGGGTACATTTTTGCAAAAATTACTGGAATGATTGTAATTACATTCTAGTTTTTTGCATTCAAATTGACTGAGATGTACATAAATGAGCTCAATTAACTCGTAACACTGTGACCCAACCAAATTAAGTTCTTTCTTTACAAATGCCAATTGGAAAAAAGCCAACAAAGAGAGGATTTATTTCAACTTGGGTAGTTTTTTTTTTTTAAGGCAGGATTATCCATCCACCTTCACATGATTATGAACTAAACCTCTATTCATCACCCATCACAGATGTGCAATGCAAACACGTAAACAAAGCAAGTTTATTAGGAATAAAAACAATGATATAGAAGAAACATAAATATGTTTTTTTTTTGTCTGTGTGTTAGTCACTGAGCTCCTCCTCGTCACTGAAGTAAGCACTCTTTTTGATCCTCGGTTTCTTAGAGTCTGAGGATGTTGAGGCATGGGCGTTCTCCTCTTCCGCTTGCCTTTTCTTCTTTTTCTCCTCTTCCTCAATACGGGCTTGCTGAAGAGACCCAAAAGAAGATTTATTTGAATATCTTTGTGACATTTCACTTTTGAGTCATTTTGTTGAATCCACCAATTAGCCATGTAATTGAAACTGTACATGATGCTGTGAATTACCTGAAATGCTATGGCTTGGCTTAAGCTATCCAAGGCTGGGTCTTCTCCCTCCCCTTCACTTTCTTCATCTTCTTCACTAAAAGAAAATACATATAGTGGGATATACCGAATGATGCAAAAAGAGATAGAGGCGTTTCAAATCCCTGCAAAAATTATTTACACATGTTCAGGTTGTTGAGGCCTTTTCTTCTTCTTTTTTTCTTTCTTCGGTGGTGGTTCTCTCTCTCCAAGCAGGTTTTTGGGGCAGGCATAGCTCAGATGTCCCGTTTCCTGTATCATAAAGGACTGCATTTACAAAGGGCATCCTTAAAAACGACCCATTCTAAGCGTTAAGCATGCACTCACCCCACATTCATAACATTTGGACTTGTCTGTATAGTTCCGCCTCCGAATGAATTCAGTTGCTCGTCCGTTGTCTATAGCAATGCTTGCTTTAACTGTTCTGCCAAATAACTGGATGGATAAAGACATTTGGACTGGACTGTGAAGATTTAAAGAAACTTTAAAATATGCCTGCAGTTAGAGTTATTCAGTATTACTCACCTGTTTGTTGTTTACCGCTCTTGCACAGTTATGAGCAGATTCTCTGTCTAAGAAGAGAACAAACGCCACTCCTTTACTCTGTCGGGTGAATTTATCCTTGACTATTGTAACCCTGGAATAAAAAGGACGGATATAAGGAGAAAATTATATGGTTAATTTTAAAGGCTGCGAGCCAAAGTTTTAAATCAATCTAGCTCATTTCAAATGTAGTTTTTCAGCTTTTTGTTTTGCTATATTAATGTGAATTATAGATTTTCTTTGGCTAAAACCCTTTTTAAAAAAAACTCTTATTTTGCACCTAAAAGGAACAGATAACATAACACACCCACTGGAACACAAACTTTCGTTTGTCAAATCAACAAGGGAATCCAAATGAAATTCAGCAGAGCGTAATGTTGAGAAGATTAAGTGCAAAAACATTGCCATTCCATATGTTGCTGGAGTCTCTGAAAAACTGAAGAGGATTTGGTCGAGACACAAAATTCCATTACATTTCAAACTAAACAAGACCCTTAAACAGAGACTAGTGCATCCTAAAGACAAACCCCCCAGAGTTAAGATGAGCAGAGTTGCAGTTCAGTGCAGTGAGAAATGTTCTGATCTTTATATTGGAGAAACCAAACAACCTCTCCACAGATGCATGGCTCAACACAGAAGAGTGCCCTCCTCTGGACAAGATTCTGCTGTCCACCTACACCTTAAGGTCAAGGGACATTTTTTTGAGGACCAGAATGGTCACATTCTGGACAAAGAAGAAAGCTGGTTTGAAAGGGTAGTGAAAGAAGCCATTTATGTTAAGAGAGAAAAAACAACCTTAAACAGAAGGGGTGCACTCAACAACCTACAACGCAGCGATAGGGTTGATTCCTTTCCGCTATCATAATCCTCATCGCCATGCAGGAGACCAAGACATCTCTCCTGGTCAGCCAGGCCAACAACGATCCTTATGACTCCCCTTTTCAGAGGCATAGGCCAGTATTGGGTTTTGCAGGCCAACAACAACTCCCCATTACTAAGGGATGGTTCAATTTGCATGTTTTCTAAGCCATAACAAGGCTTTGTTAGGCTACTCTATAATGCTTGGAATTCAAGGCTAATCCAGACATTTTAAATAAAGAAAATCATCCTGTAGGGGAAGCGAAACGTCTTCAAACTCCAAACAAGTCCAGTTTTTTTTTACTTTTTTGGAATCACAAAAGGAAACTACTTTTTTAGTGTTTTATTTAAATCTGATATCCTCAAATATGTTTACGTGCATAACATATGCCGGAAAGAAAGCATTGGAGCCATATGCTAGAAGCCTGCATTGAATTCCTAAAATCTGGCAAAAAGGGCCGTAAATTATGAAGAGACAGAATGGAATAATTTTCCCTAAATATTCAACATCCATTTTAAGCCAACTTGCTAAAAAAAAGCACAGAGTCTAGTCGACAAGTTCCACTGGGATACGCTTTCAGCACTTCAGAATTGCTGCATCCCTTGTTTTTCCTGGCAAAAAAAAAAGATAGACATAACCTGTGGCCAAAATACAGAACTGTAGCACTCTTCTGTTCTTCTTGTACAGTGCCCTCCACCATTATTGGCACATATGCAAAGACGAGAAAAATTCAACCTTTTATTTAAGTACATTACTTTCGTGGTAAAAATAAAATCACACATTTAGAAAAAACAACAAATACCTGAAATGACGTGCACCGCTAACAATTTACCTGAAAATTTTTATTGATTTCTTTAAATATATTTTTCTGTACTTGCTAAAGTTGGTCACAGTATCTAGGGACGTTTATTTAGTAATTTGAAAAAATAGGCTAAAGGCATATAGATCAGTCACCTCTGAACTATTGAGGTGTCAGTCTGATCATCAAATGATGATCTAATCATTAAGGCTCAAATAAAAGTCTAGAGGAGTTTAAGAATACCACTACTTGGCAGTGATGTACAAAACTGAAAATATCAGGCTTTTCAAGGTTGATATGAGTTTTTTTTTTTTGTTTATTTGATCAGATTTTGACAATTCTGATTTTAACTGACTTAGATTTATATATAAAAAAAAGAAACATACTTGAGATTCCTTGGGGACAATAGTAGCTATTGAAAAAGAGGAAGTTACAGTGTTATCCCTGCTTAAATGTCAAAGCATGTAAATACCTTCATATTATTTTCTGTAAAATTGTGATGCGTAATAGTATATTTTAATGTTTGCTTTTAATACAGAACTGGAGAGCTCCTTCACGGACAGGCTGCTGCATTTTAAATGCTCAATGGAAAGTCATCACAGCTCTTTTCACCTAATAGCTTCTAGACTTTACAACCATCCCAACAAACTCAATTAGTACTCTTTTACACTTTATAGTAAGTAGTCTTTTGATGCTTTTTTATGTGGCTTAACTTTAGTACATTCCAAAGGAAATATTGTGTTACTTTGAAACAAACATCTGCAGGAGAGAGAGAGTGGAAAATAGATCTTTTTCTGTATTATTTTATTCCACCTAGGCTTCCTCCTATTAGGTGAGCATCTGTTATTTCCTTTTTAAATCAAATTTTTATAAAAAAAATTTACTGAGAATTTTAATTTTATTTCTCTGACGGTATAGCCAAATTTGCCCCAGTTTGGGACAATAAAGGACATTTTTATTTTTTTGTTGATGTTGATTGTTTTCAAACCTGCAAAAACAATTATTCATAATAACTTTTATAATCTACAGTAAAGGGAGACAAAGGAGATACATGTACATGCAAAAAAAGCTAGTGGTGGGATTTTTTTTATTTTATTTTTTATTTTTTGTCGTATAAGGACATTGACAATTATTCTGATTTTAGTTCAATTTATTTATGATAGAATTATAAGTGTTAAAGCTGTGGCACAAGAGAGAAGGCAACATCAACAACTTGCTTAGGCGTGCAAGAATGCAGAATGCTTGGTATTGTTGATCAAATCTATGCAAAACTGTTTATAATGATAAGATTTTGCAAACCTCAGCTGCTTGGCTCCCTTTTTGTCATTAATCAAAGAAATGAACAGTTTTTCTTTCCTTACTATGCTTTTTCTAGGTGTTGCATTTTGTAAAATACAGTGCAAATGCATGCCTAATCATCCAGGTTGTTTTGTTTTTATTTTTCAGTCCACATTTGGTTGTAAAAATACATTTTCCATTAAGCAGCATTTTATTACACGTGATGAGCAGATAAAAAAAAATAAAAAAGAAGAAAAGAAGCATCACTTACTTGACAACTTTTCCATACTTTGTGAACAACTGTAATGACATACATGTAGGTTAGTATACAAAACAAACATCCTAACATATTAACTAACAAATATCCATTCTTTTAAACTCAGATTACCTTATGTAGATCGTTGTTTGTCAAAGAGAATGGCAAATTAGATACATAAACTGTGCTTTTGCTTGGTGCCAAACCCCCACTCATAGTGGACAGACTGTTAACACAAAATGTAAAAGTAGCATACAAACAACAATTAGCATATTTCCGTTTCAGTTAAACGTTAGCATATGACTTCATGTAGGAATATAAATTAAATTTCATACTTACCAAAACTGCAACCACTGGTAAAATGCAGTTTATTGTCAAAAAGGGAAAATGCCAATGTTTCTAAATATCGATGCTAACAGAAACAAAAACAGCGCACGCGCGTCGCAGCTTGATGACGTATCCGCGTTGATAAATTGGTTTTGCTGTGTTGCTAATGAGAAAAGCTAGGCTAGTCCCACGGCAAGAATAGGTGAGACTGTGTTGTTATTTTTAACTGAAAGAAATGTATTATTTGCCTTTTATAAAATTTGTTTTTGACAGGAACAGACGTCACTGTTTATATTTGTTTTTAATTTTTTTTTTGCGGTAACCTGGACTTTCGTCAGTCCAAACGTGTGAATGTTTGCTGCACTGACGGGTTAGCCAAACTAGCTTTATATTCTGGAGCTAGCTGCTGTCATGAATACATTTACATTTAACGTGCTTATAGTTCATTGCTATAAGAGCTAAGATGTCAGAGATTAGTTCTTCATTGAAATGTTCCTGAATGATATGATTACAAGCTGTTAAATCTACTGAAAATCTCTTCACAGATCAATAAGAAGGCTGTTTCCCGAAAAAAAACAAAACAACAAAGTTTAAAAGTAAGTAACCAAGCCTTTATAGTACAGACAAATACAGTTGGGTTGTATTTAAGTCTCTGCGTTATTGAGAGCAATATTAACACAGTAAAGAATGCTGCTTTGCAATTTTATTTGCTCTTATTACACATGACTTTACAACTATTAGTACATTTTTATCTTTTGACGTTATAGATCATTATGGCTTATAGATAACACACATTTTTTAAATATTGTCTAAAAGCTTAACATTACAAACTTCCAGGGCAGTAGTCTCCACACTGCAGATAAGCCACAGAAGATCTTTGCTAAAGAAGTGTTATTCACAGTTCTGTTTAAGAGCATATTTACAGAATGAAAGCATGGTAGGAAAAGGTGCAACAGAACTGCGGCCTTGAGAGGTTTGTCAAGCAACCTCTGGTGGGAAAAATTCACAATCTTGAGCCTCATGAACCAGAGCCGACATCAGAATCATCTGACTTTGGCTAAGGAGAAATAAACTAGACTTCCGCAGTGATTCTGTCCCCTTTTCACATAGAAATAGTTACATTTTCATTTTGAAAAGAGAGAGTATGAAAGAAGAGTGGAGAAAAATCACATCACTAAAAGACTAGTCCATAGTGATGATTTAGGATGCCAAATCATCTGAAGTTTTCTTTCCATTGCTTTTTCTGGAGTCCACAGTCAACACAGACATCTGTCTGGGTGCTTCAGAGCATGTTATTACTTCTTCTGCTAAATGGTCCCTGATTTAATTTTCTTGCAAAATTTGACATTTGCAAACACTGGCCATCAAACTGGCCTGACCTCACCTCATACATGATTTTTGAAATCCTTATTGTGAATTACTGCATTTGATCAATGCTGTAATTCATGCAGAAGGAGCCTCAATCAAATATGGAGTGCATAGAAATTAACATCCTTTTCGGAAGCTTAACAGTTGTGTTCAAAACAGCAACTTTTTAAAATCTTATGTAATATTCTACCTTCCCAAGACAATTTCGGATTTGGGAGTGAAAGCATTGCATATTTTAGTCTGTAATGAATCTATATATTGCTCTAGTTGTACCTTTCTAAAATGAAAGGAAATATGTATCCAACATATTCACAAAATTTCCTGTCTGGTTAGACCAAATTTAGTCTTATCTGACCATTTGTGGCAGAAAACTATTACTGACCATGTCTTCCCCACGATGAGACACGCTGATTGCAGCATAATGTAGGAATGCCTTTCATCAGCAGACACGGAAGCTGGTCAGAGTTGAGAAGGAACATGAATGAAGCTAAACAGAGGACTGAGGTGAAGATATGTTTTCTATCAGGATACCAACCCTAAACACACAGTCTGCTTTGAGACCACAGCGAAATCAAAACATTTGCATATGTTGAACTTATATTTTCAAGGTCAAGACCTGCAAAGTTGGATAGATGCTTACTAATAAAGGTCCGTACCATTAAAGACTTGCAGCTGAAATATAACCAAATAGGATTCTGCAAATCTGACTAGGGATGTAAATCACACCCATCATGACGATTCACTTCAGTATCAATTTCCTTACCCAATGATTCGATCATTTTCGATACTCAAGAATACACCACGATACGATTGGATTAATTGGTAAATTTCTTCTTTTTTTTTACCTTACAGGCTAGAAAATGTTTCAAATTTGATATAAATCGATGAAAGCTGTAATATAGTTATGCATTTTATTTGAGAAACAACAGAATAACAAATAACAGAAGTAGCAAAGTTGTAATCCACCTAGGCCTGTGAAAACCTTGTTCACTGAAAATTAATAATGCCTCTGTGTTATAGATTCTGAAAGGCCATGCATCAAAAAATACTAAAAGCGGAACGAGAGTAGTGGCTAAAGGAAGCGAGGTAGGAGGGCAAAATACATTTAGCGCCACCACAGCACAGGAATCAGAATTACGTCCAGGAGCAAATGGATAAAAATAGACCAAAAAAACACAAATCGATACTCTTGCGGACGTGTCGATGCATCGGATCGTCGGCTGTTGGATCGATGCATCGATACCAAACGATTATTACTTACAGCCCTAGTTGTGACTAATGTTCCATAGAAATTAACCCCTTTATTTAAAGATGCTAATTGAAAAATGGGACGCGAAAACCACATATAAAAAAATGCCTTACGTTTATGGTTGTAACTTCACAGAAAGTAAAGTTTTAGGTGTGTTAAAATATTTCCCAGTTACTGTGTGTGACAGAATAGGTAGTGAGCTCAACCTGTATATCTATAAAGATATTTTTATATTTATTATCACAGTGACATACAGAAGAGATCGAGGTGTGCGAGAGGCGTATGAAGAGCGCTTCTTGCCAGAAAGACCAGTAAGTGTGTACTTTGTTCAGATCATCTTAAAGCACAAATCATATACCCTTTTGCACAGCAACCAAAAGCATGCCACAGGGTAATTATATTTTTCCCTCCAATTGAAAAAAATATGCTTCTGTGTAGGGTCCATATCCACGAGTAGCTGGAGGCGTTGAGAGGAGAGGCCCATTTGGAAGGCCGGAGGATGAGTACGGGCGTGGCTATGAAGGAGGTCCCCGTTTTTACCCCAATGGAGGCGGCCCTAGAGGCTACCATGAAGACCAGAGGGGCTACCAAGTTGAAGGCCATCACTTCCCTGAACGCAGAGCAATCCCACCAGCACGGAGGGTGAAAATCAACCTTATTTATTCATCATTGATTAAATGTGAAATTCCCTACACAGAATTAAAATCAATACTTTTTGCTTTTGATGGTTAGGAAGAGTTCCCATACAGGGTACCAAGAGAAGACCCTCATGCAGCGCGACCTTTGGAGTTTGGGTAATTTAAATATTTTTTGTCATTTATTGCCAAAATCCATCTGATTTTGATGATTAGAGGTGGTCCTAATCCAGATTTATTTATTCATACTTACCCAGATTATTTGTGCTGTATTTACAAAGTCCCAGCACAGAGGGGCGCTCTAGGTTCTAGAAGTACTATAAAGTAATTGAAACCAACCTCAGTTGATTCTCAGAGCAGCTGCCTTTCTTTCTGCAATGATAGAATGAGTCCTTATTGCACAACAGCTGAAAGTTCTTGAATGAACTTTTCCAAGCTTGACCTGTCCTAATTTTGCATTTTGGCTAATAACTCCTGTAATGATTAAATAAATTGGGAAATTCAGATTGTAGTTGAAGTATCCATCCCCCCACCTTTTCATTACTCAGTTCCCTTGCACTTATCAGAGTTCAGGTTTGTAAGAACCTCAGGTATCCCTCTCAGCATCCAGCACGTCATTTTAAAGATAAATGCTGCTGCTTATCCTTTTTTAATAGTATGACAGCTTCTGCAGTTAGGAAAAAAAAAAAGTTCACGTTTTTGTAACTGGGATAAAAGATAATAAAATGAGAGTGAACAAAGTGACACTGTAGAAAATGTATTTGCATTGTAAATTTTTATGTAGCAATTTGACTGGTCCTTTCTACTTTGCATTATTTTCTCTAAACTCACATTTCCCGAGCGCCGTACAATTTTAATGCTCTGTATTGTCTATTATTGTTTAGTAATAGAGTAATTCAGCAACTGAAATTGTTTTTCGGGAAAGCTTGAAGTTCTTCAGTTCACTTTTTGTGTCAAATCTTTGGTGTTAGAGAAATTTTGGTTACACATTTCTGTTTTTTGTGGATATAGGGGGATTTTTTAGATCTTAAGCTTTTTGTTTTTTGTGTTAATCTTAAATCTTTTTTTTTTTTTTATTGGTTTATGTAACTGTCACCCCCTCAGGGCTCGTGTTCCTCCACCTCACAGTGTGCGAAGTCAGGGCGTCTATCCAGCACCCAGATCACTTCCAGAAAGCGGAGAAGATACATTAGTGCAAGCCATCCGCAACCTGGACAGAGGGTATGGAAACCGACTTCCTGATCACTGACCAAGGGATTTGTTTGTTAGTATTGTTTCTTTATTAAACATGGGAAATGCAACTACTGACACAATTATATTACAATCATCAGATTCCTTTGCTGAAATAAAGTCAAGTAGTGTTTTCCTCCAAGGATGAAGTTCAGTACATCTTGGTGTATTCTAGATGGCAGCATTGTACAATATTTATGGATAGTGGACAGAATATGTAGAATATCACTGGTTAGGGATATATAAAATGAGAAGAATTTTTCTTTTTTTTCTTTTTTCTTTTATTATTATTAATTTATTATATATTTTTAAACACTTGAACTGTTTAAGTATACCATAAACTAGCTTTATGTCTGTTTTAATTTTTCCAGGGAGGACAGAGATCCTTACAGGAGAAAGACAGCACTGTTTCCTCCCCTAAGAGAACGTTCCCCTGTCCGCCGCGAGGTGGCTCGTTCCCCCCACAGTCGCTCAGGCTCCAGTGTGAGCAGCAGAGGCTACTCGCCAGAGAGAGCCAAGAGCCTGCCTTTTCCAGCACAGCAAGGCAAGAGTATGTACAAAATGTCTAAGCCTTTTGAAGCTTTGGAGAATGGGAGTGTTATAAATGGCCTTAGGAGCTTCTTACAATACATGGAGTATAAATGCAGCTTAAATTTTTACCATTTTAAAACCACAAACTTCATTACCATGTTGTCGTTTTTTTTTTTTGTTGTTGTTTGTTTGCATGGATCAACCCAAAGTAGTGTCTTCCTGTGAAATGGAAGAAAAATGATGTGAAGTTTCAAGTTGGGTTAAGCTCTAAAACAATATCCCAAGCTGGGAATATCTCAAAAGACTAGCTATTTACCTTAAGTGAGATAGACTAACAATTCAGTGGGGAAAGCAGTTTATTGGACAACTTTTAACTGTGCACCACACAGATCTGGGCCGTTTCTCAATATATGTACTTGCACGTTGTCATGTGCTCATGAAACGTTCTGAGCCTAAGCCCTAGATGAATTGTTCCAATTCATAACAACACAAGACCGATAACAAAGTCTCCAGATGTTGTTCTCGCCCCTCCCTTTTTACAGAGCATGCATCAGAGCAGACTTGTCTGTTCTCGAGATTGACAGCTGTCCCAGCATGCACCATGGTAGCATCAGCTTCCAGGGGAGCGCTCACAGAACTCAGAGTATGAAATTAAAAGTTCTCTTTTTTTGTTGCCGTTCTATAAAAGTACGTTTTAAGATAATTTGAGGTGAGAACGTTATAGTTTTAAGTGTTACTAAATGGCTCATTTACTTTTTTAGTGCCTAATTAAAATATTCTGATGTTTAGAGGGCCGTGGCAACCAGTGGACCTGCGATGCTAACCGCAGCCATGGCTAACATTAGCCTGTATGCAGCAGCCTTTTCTCAGCATAGCCTTGTGTGAACTGCAGCTGGCTCTGGCGATTTTAATTTAATAAAACGTTCATTCAATTTGTGTTTGTTTTACTGTGTTGATTATTATTCCCCCACTAAATGAAAAAAGTAATATTTTATTATCCAGAGACTATTAATAACAGGACGTGAAATGCGGTTCCAGACGAGCTGCGCATGTGGTGACGTCACGAGTATGCTTCTTTTCCAATTGACCCATATTTACATTGCATGCTCCCGTTCTCCCCAAGTCCATACTCTCCTATGTTTTTATCAAGAACATACTTTGGGAGGACACAAGTTCGTACTCGCGTTCTTGTGAATTGAGAAACGGCCCAGGTCATTGTTGCTGGATAAACAGTTTGTTAGAAGTCCTGTTTGAAGCTTCCCAGTATCCCTGTAGAGAATGTGCTGCTTTCTTTGTGTTAAGCACTGTGACAAAAGATAAATATGAAACACTTTGGCCTCAAGTCTAAGGTTTGAGATTTGCAAACCTAGTATAGATATGATCCCAGATTCTGCAGCTTTAACTGCAGAAAACAGCAGTTCTACCAAGTGTTAGCCAAGAGGGTCTGAGTGAAAATGAACTTTTTTTTTTCTTTACAAAAAGTTATTCTGCTTCACAATCATGCACTTCTTTGTGTTGTTTTACAAAAAATACCAAGAGACTATATAAAAGTTTTGCAAAGCTACATGGGCAAAGTTCAACATATGTTGATACAAGTTTGTACTTTAAAAAGACATTCGGATTAATTCTGTGATCCAAGCTACTAAATATTTAGTTCATGGAGCAAGACCTTCATAAAAAATCCACCCAGCATACGTAAGCATGTTAAGTTTTTTTATTAGACGCCATTAAACAGACCAAAGGAATGTAACTGACCAAAATCAGAGTAGATTGCAGCTTCAAAAGGATTAACGAAAGAAACGATTTAAACATTTTGCAATTAAATTCATATGTATTCATTTTTTCCCCCATTTCTTTTGTTTTTTTTCATAATCTCTTTCCGTTTCCTCCACCTAAAATCTGGCTGATTGGCTTTTCCAGACTTGGACGTTCCAGAGAGTCACACAGGTGTTACTGAGCACCTCTGGGGGGCGCTCTTTCCTCAGACTGGACACGAGACTTTGGGTCTGTACACAAACTCACGTGAACAAGCTTGGACTTGGGTGATGTCTTTACTTGCATCTTTGTCGTGCCCAAAACATGATGAAGACCACTTAAATGAATTAGAGGATTACACAAAATGAGATCAGAGCCACATTTTTCTGCTAATACCAAAAGATAAAACAGCTCAGCAACTTAAGCTGTTATTTTCAAAACATGTAGAGTTTTTACCCAGGTCTTAAGTAAGTGCTCTCATGAGTTTTAAATCTAATGTAGAATCTAGTGGGGACTTTGGAGCATCAGGAATACATTTTAGCCTCTTGTTGAGGGATACCTTGGCTCTTTTCATTGTTTCTACTCTGATCCACTCACAAGACTTGCACAAATACTTTAATTTGATTGAAAGTAGTTTTTTTATTCATTTTTTCCCCAAATGTGCGCATTTTAATAGCTGTGGTATAAACTTTAAAAGTGCTAAAGGTATCTCTTGACATTCTGCATGATGAAACCTTTAATCCTCCATTTAACATTATTTCACCTCTTTCCTCTGCTTTCCATTTCACTTTCCCCTGTGAAATAAGGATTCAATTTATACCCAAACAACATTGTCTTTTTGTGTATTTTGTGAAACAAGAGTGGTGGTTTTGTAATGATTTAGAGGTGCATATAAAGAACAGTACAAACCTTTCTTCATAGGGACAATGTAGTGGATGCATGCTCTTACTAGATGTCTTAGTTATAGTACTTAGTTTAGTGACCTTACGGTTTGGTCTTCCTGCAGGGTATGAAGAAACTTATTCTCAGTCCAAGGTAATTGGTAAGTAAAGCTCAGTCTAGTTATTGACGGCCAAAATGTGGTCTCTGCTGTTAAGTGGGATAACTGATTTATAATGCAAGAATAAGGCAGTGAAAAATGAAAGTCTTTATTCAGACTTTTGCAAAAGTATGTGTATATCTGCTTTACTTATTTTAATTAACTGATTGAAGTTTCGTGTTGTGCTTGGAAAGGGATTAGCTTCTTTTTTATAATTATAAAACCTTGTGGGAATTGGATTTCCAAGTATTGAAAAGATGAAAATAATTATTTCAGGTCCCCATGAGGGAAAGAATTGTATTAAAAATCTTGATGGCAGAATATTTTTCTTTTATAGAAGGTGACAAAATAATTATATTGTGTTAAAGTGGTTGGTATTAAAATTACATCTAATGTTTAGTAAATGGTTCTCGATTGATTTGGTTCCACTTTGACGGAATCCACTTAATTGGTTATTTGAAACAACCTCAAAAGTGTTTATTTGAATGTGGTTAAGCATGTAACCACATTTAAGAAAAGAATGGTTAAATAAAATGACTGTAAACTTTAATAAGGGCCTAGTTTTATTAAAAACCTAACAGCTTTTTTTTAATCTTGTTTAGTTTTAGAGTAAAATGTTTAACAGTCTACAAAACTTTTATTTACCTTTACTATAAACTGTATAAAGGTATATGATTTCCAAAGTGCTAGAGGATTCATTCCAGTTTTTAACAAATAAAATATGGATTATGAATGAGATTTTCAACATGCCCAAAGAAAAACCACCAACCCTTTATTTTGCTGTTAGCTTGGAAACCAACCTCAATATGAAGGAACATTTCACATAATAAAAAAGTTATAAAGGGACTAGTTCTGTATGACGGTAGGAAAAAAAACTTAATGTAGAAAAATTTAGTTTCATTTAGCTATGATTTCATTTGTTTAATAAATAATTAAGTGTTAATGACCTTCTGCTTTTGACCCAAGTAACCCTAGTTTACCTAATGAGGAAAAATCTATAAATATTTCCATCTCAGCAACAAGGTTCTGTTAAAGTTTCCTGTCCTAATTTTGCTGGAATCCTCCCCTTTCGGTATCTTAATGAGTTTAACACCTTGATACTTATTTTCTACCTTCTATTTCTTCTTTATTTAACTAATGCTACAAACTTAATACATATTGCTAGTTACGGTAAATAACTGCCTAACATATCTTTTGATCCATTACTTTTGCACAGTAACAGATGCAATTTCCAGAACAAATGAATAGAAATTCAAACCGTTAAATTAGGTTAACCTGAGTTGACAGAAAGCGTTTCTAATGTGTCCTGCAGGAAGCCCTTCTCATCTGTTCTGTCCTTCCCGCCGTCGGTGATCGTAAAGACGGCACCAGAAGTAGAGGGGTGTGGGTATAGAGTGTCTAATGGATATTCCTGAAGCCATTTTTTTATGTTTCTTTCGGAACGCCGGGGGTTTCTATTGGTGTTTTTAGTTGACCTAGAAGTGGGTCACACAAGAAATTAAAATTCAGGAGACTGAATTTAAGGGTGTCTGTAATTAACGTAATGCAGTGTTTTGGCTACAACAGTAATCCTTGTTCCTTAAACTATATTTATACATCTCTTGTTCGTTCTTTTTATAGATGTCAGCTTCTCCACTTTTTCTCTATTCCTGAGTCTCTTTGTGGGATCATCTTACTTGTTAGCTCCAATGTTAAAGTTGAATGTATCACTTCTTTGTTCTCTTTCTCCTTTGTCTTCTTAAAATTCTAGACAAAATCCCTGGCCTGTCACGAGAAGGCTCCCCACAAAGTGCAACATCAAATAAGGTGAGTAATGGAGACCAATATGTTTCCATAAAAAGGACGTTTAATTTGTGTTTTTAACAAATAAACAACTTTTGTTTAAAGTCGCTAAACATGTTCACATTAATTGGCGGCCCTGCTCTCTGCATTTGTCCCGTTGGTGCATCTGTCCCGATGGTGCATCTGGAACTTCTTAAATCCCATCCTAGCTATAAGCGTTCAGTCCTACTGGAGCATGCTAATGGCTTTTTAAGCAATGTTCACGCGCAGCATAAAAGCCATCAGGCCTGCGTTGTGTTTACCATTGGTGTAAGCAGACTTCTGTTACATAGACTGATAGTGGTAAAAGAAAGTGGCTCGACGGTTGACAAAGTTTTTAAAAACTACTTTTAGTGTTGAATGTGTACATCTCTGGACTGAATTGTAAACAGTAGTTTGTTTCGGTCATGCATCCATCTCCAGATACGCACAGGGAGGGTAAATAAAATCAGATGGTGATTGCGATTAGGAGCAGGGTGTGCAGCAAAGGCCACCCAGAAGCTAGGGGTTAACTCAGTAGCCCAAGTCATAACTTTATCACATGATCTTGACCGCAAAGACAGCAGAGTCCCAGCAGAGCTCATTTAGATGTGTTTATGCTGTTTACAATGAACAATCGTTTCCTTATGCAGGGGGAGAGTGTGTCTGTGCATGTGCGAGTGTCTGCTGGACGGGGCAAGGTATCCGTCGTATGATTTTTTTTTTTGGTTGAAGTGCAACCTGAGACTCACAGGGAACATTTTGACTAGAATTTGAGAGGCTTCTGTGTTTTATGCCTCATTCATAGCTTTGGAAAAAAAATCTAAATGGTCTGAAAGTGCTGCCTGTTAATGTCTTTAGCGCTGATTTGCGTCTATCATTTTTTAAAGGTTGTGCAGCGTTTTATTTATTTGATGATTTGACATCTTTCTAAAATGTTCTGTGTCTTCTAGATTTGTGGAACTTCTTTGTGCTGAACACATCTAAGCTTTAGAAAAAGCTCTTTGAACTGGCAGAACTTTGCAATTTCTAAAAGTTTGTAATGATGATTATAAGGATTTTTTTTGATAGCTCCACAGTAATGTGGAAATATTAAAAGTTAATTAATTGATTATTTAAATAATCCTCAATTAATTTAGTAATGGATTAATCGTTAACTGAAGTATAGACTCTGAAACACGCCTTTAGCTGACAGATCTGCCTACTTAGAGCAGTAATTATATCAGGATTGTAAAAAAACATATGAACATTTAGCATTTAATATATAGAAAAGGAAATGTTTGAGTTTCACCTGTTTAAAAATTGTATAGCCAAAGATTTTTTAAAGAAGACTTTCTACAAATTTAAATCGATTAATTGAAAAAAATGGTCAACAGATTAACTGATTTGCAAAATAAATTTTTTGTTGCAGCCATAGCATCTGTTTTCTGTTGTCATCTTTGCATTTTTTTTTTAAAGTCATCAGCACCAATGACAAACTTTAAGTTTAAAATTTATGCAGATGTGCTTGATGCATAAATGATGTCGCTTCTCTATGACGGGTGGAGAGTTGATGCAACAGATAGAGAAGCTACCAATGAACTATGTCTTTATGTCTTTAACAATCACTGTTTCATGCTTGTAGTTACTGGCATTTATTAGCAATCACCAGGGCAGCATGGGAGCTCTTTCTAAGCCTTGGATGTGGATTTATTTGAGGAAGTGCACATCGCTGCTTTGTTTTGACATATAGTGAGCGTTGTTTTACATACGCTGATGTGTACAAACTTTATACACTCCTTTCTCCATCCCCTTCAAGCACGGAGACTTGTGGCAAATGTTAAAAACCTGGAAACACTCTTAGGATATTATCCAGAGGAAAGCTTTATATGTAAATATGCTTAAAGTAATCATTTCTCAGTCCCTTTTTCTGACAGCCAATCTTTTGGCTCCTTTCAGCCTACTTCTGTATCAAAAAATGGCAAAACTTAGATTGCTTTCTTCATCAGAAACCCTATTGCCCAACCATTAGTTTTTGGTCTATTTCTTTTGTCTTTCAAAAAGCTGCTTTTGTAAAGGCTGCTTCCTATCTCAAGAGTGAAACTAGAGGCGACTGACTTGTAATATTTTACAAGTCAGGGTTGAGTTCCCTTTAATCAAAAAGTAATTGAAGCATCTCTGTTATGACCAGAGTGGCTTTGGGGTTTCACTGAACCAGTTAAGAAACAGTGTGGCCAACCACAGACTAAATCAAACCCTTTTTTTATTTTTGCCAGAGGTGACTGCTGAAGTTGAAAGACAAAGTATAATTTTAGGGAATGCTTTATTTCAAAAACTGGACTGACTTTTTGGCTGTACTTCGCCGTTTAAATGAAAGCTGGGTAACATCAGTAATAACCAAATAGAAGCGTGTCTCTTTCTGACGCACGTCCAATTGGATCAATGCTGTGATCAAAGTTTGTTACTGTCCCGCTTGTCCACAAGTACACATAGAAACATGTGCTGCTGCTGGTTTTGATCTGTGCTGCGGCGCATTGTTCCTCGTTCCCAGGGCACATGCCCATAACCTTGGCCGAGATGAAAGATTGTTGCTGTGCTCTTAGTAAAGCTTGTTCCGATGGTCTGGGTCATTGCCTGCTGTGGCAGTTCAGCATGCACACAAAGGCTTTCTGGGGTCATCACTGACGGAAGAGACCAAAGAGGAGAGGGACTATAGAGGGCTCCACCTTTGGCTCACAGCCAGGTGATCAATGGGTGGAGGGCTGGATTTGGAACAAAGGAAAGGTCATCAGGAGGCTCATCTCTGCTGAAAATTCCTGTTTATAATTTCATATTTTACCAAGTAAGATACCTTTGTGTGTTCTAACATGCAGATACACGGCTTATGAAAGTATTAATTATGGAATTTTGTAACATTACACCTCAAACTTGATGTATTGTGGCAGATTAGTGCATAACCCTGAGGCTGAATGAAAATGAGATACTTTTTAAACTGGCTTTTAAATCTAAAGAATTTGGAGTTGTGCCATATCCTGTCCATTTTGGGAGATGGATTTGTTCTGTGACACGTTTGCTCTGGGTATTTATTAGGGTTGGGAATTGCCTTATCGATTCTGTGAACAATGAACTTGTTTAGTGCGCGGTGACATTCTTCTACCTTCGCCTGGGACATTCTATTTCTGTCTGCCTCGGCAAAAACAGGAGGCAGTGAACGGGAGCTGCCAGCCTTTGAGCCAGCCAGGCTACCCGTCTCATCACAATTATCTAAATCTAATGGATAAGGCATCTGTTTAATGAAAAAGCATTACTGTACAATTTCTGGAAATAAACTCATCTCTCCCTGATTTAAATAAATGAGCATCACCTCTCTCTCGCTCACTGAACTGCGGAGCAACTTCGTAACATGTTTAATAACCCCAAAGAGAGGTAGGAAATTGGTTTATTTCCGGTAATGGCATATGATTTACTAGGAATCACATTAAGCACAGCCAGTGATATAAAACTAGGTACTTACCACCAGAGTTGCCTTCCATGCTGATCGTAACTGGAGCGTTTGTCCCGAAGCATCAACGATTGCAAAGCACCTTGTTGCCATCTTTCTCTTCCATAAAACGAAGTCAAACTTTTGATCGCTTTACCCGATTGGGTGCCATTTATTTTTTTTTGCTTTTCTACTTATGCCTGGGAATGTTGTACTTGCTTACTGAATGTTGTGCGCGTAACTTGCAATAAAAAATGTGTTGTAAGTCGTGCTGCCCAGCGCTAGGCTCCGGTGCTGCATGGAACCGTTAAGAGAATCGTTAAGCGAGCTGCCAAACGGTGCCATGGAGTTGGAACACACAGAACTGGTTTTCGATTCGCATCCCTAGTATTTATCCAGAACCTGGGTTGAACTATTCCACCACATTATTCCTAATCCATCTTTTTACTTTATTATTGTTTTCTAACAAATCTCTGGGGCCTTCGCAGTCCCTTTCACACTGACTGAAAAACATGTTTAACCCGGGGACAACCGGCTTTTAGTGGCAGTGGGAACAGATCACTGACGAGTGTCTACCTGGGTCAAATGCATCGGTTCTGATTGCATGCTGTGGGAACACCAGACCCGGGTTGACCCGTTAAATACATGACACCATTGAACGCAACGTACGAACATCAACAAACTGCGCCGATCGCTTCTGATCTAACAAGCCAAAACAACTGTTTACATTCGATAAACATGGCGCAGCGCTGGTAAGAGGCTCTGGCTCCCGTCCATGTTGCTCTCCAACAATTACTTCCCTGATTTCCGGCACTACGGAATCCGTGAAAACACAGCGTATTAGTTTCTGGAAACGCATGCTTTGCAACGACAAGAATAAATCTTGTGTTTATTGAATGGTTTGTTGCAGAAGTGATTAAATATCCCCCTAAAATTACATTTATGATTCTCTGTATGTGGGAGGTAATTCTGTCCTGCTTCGTCTTGGGAAAGGGGTGGAACGCATTCAAGACTTTTTCCTGCCAGTTATTATTAAGCTCCAGTAAGTTTGCAATTTTTTTTCTTTTTTACTCAAGCAAAGGAGGTTGAACACTGACAAATGTGATCTATCTTGCATGCACAAGTATGTATGCAGGACTTCTCCCCGGAGCTATGGTTGGGACTGAATAGGAAGGAATAATTGGATGATTCCTTATGAGTTGCGCTTTTCTTTTTTAGACAGCAGTTGGCCTTGATGTTCCATCCCCTCTCTTTACTCAGCCATCTAGGAATGAAAGATGACTCGGTCCGTGGCCCGTTTCTTCTTAATGTATGAGTGAACTTTATTCCTGCTTGGGTAGCTCTGCGGTTCGGCCGTCAGACTCTCACAGAATCAGGAAATGAGCATTAATAGTATGACCCTATTTACACTCGGTTTCAGGTTTTGCAGGAACATGGCTGCCACAGTTTCCAGTCTGTTCATTTGAATGGTTAATAACTGTTTCTGGACAGAATTTACTAATAAAAATCCTATATTGTCAAGTAGAAACTACTTAAAGTGACTGTAGATCTAAGCTTGACCTTTTATGTTTTATTCACTTAGTTCTTTCTATTAAAAAAGAGCCACTCACAGTGATCCACTGATGTTGGGCCTCAGGTTATTGACCCATATTCCATAACATTGTTTTGTCTGTTCATTTGGTCATGTATGATGTTTGAGTAATTTATCTTGGATTTGTTTCTCTCATCAAGTCTTAATGTTAAAAGCAATTTCTGTGCATGTTTTCCTGTTTCCTAGTTTTCTTTAAAGCTCCTCACATTTTCTTCTCCTCTCTGCAGGAGGAGAGCCATCCTCCGGAAGTAGAAAAGGAGGAACCAGTTGCAGCCCCTGTGATTGAGGAAAGCAAAAAGTCAACTGAGAATTCAGAAGAGAGGCGAACTATGGCTATCGCAGCCAAAGCCAAGGAGATTGAAAAGGTACATGTCCTTTATCTACTAAAAAAGGGGGATTTATTGATCGGGGGAAGGGGTCATATTGAGCACATTTTAAATGATCACTCTTTTAATTTAGGTGCAGAGTAAAGAAATGCACATATATAAACTTTATCTGGTTCCCCTAGGTTAAGGTTTTCACTCTTGGAATAGTTTTCCTTCTGGCTCCTTTAACTTCTTGTTACCTGCAGCTCTGGTTTATTCATGCCATCGTTATTAATGAGGTAAAGCTTGACTCTTGCTTTTTACACACACACACAGTAAATGTTGAAATTGCATGTTTAACAGAGCTTGGAGGACCCCAGGCTAAAAGTTCCAGATCTGCTCCCTTGTCTAATGAATGCCATGCCAGGACCAGTTATTGCTACCACTGGTTTACTCGAAACCATTAAAACTTGAGCTAACTTTGCCCTGGAGCATTCGGTTCCCTCTCCCAGCGAGCTGCACCAGTGAGCCTGCAGCTCTGCCATAATGTTCCTGCTGACGCTGCACCTTCCCTCCTGTTTTACAGTCAAAGCATTTTGTCCTTGCTTGTGTTTTTGCTCATTTTCTTGAGTAAATTCTTATTGTTACTCGCAGTGCAGGCCACAATAGCACCCCTGGGAGGTAGCCTAATCTCGCATTGAAAGATTTGTATCCATCCAGCTTTCAGTTTAAACATATTTCTTTATATAGTAGAAACAACTCACCGTGGTTGTTTGGGTTGCATTAAAGTAAAAATGTCTTCTTCACCTTTCCAATTTAGCATGTGCTTTATACGTTTACGTTTATGATAAATATGGTGGCGGATCAGTGGTGCTGTCAACATGTTTCTTTACTTAAAGTCCTGGGAATCTAGTTTAGAAAACCTTTATGTCTGAATTTAATGATGAACAGGCCTGAATAAACATACCTATAGGATGGCTTTTAGTAAACTGTCTTAATCAAAATTAAAATTTGTCTGATTAATGCATATAAATGGCTTGGTGAACCGGTAATTGTGGCTGATTCTGTAAATCAAGGTTTTCTTTTTCACCAAAAATTTTGTTTAGGGGGTGTCCGATTTCATTTATAGAAAGACTATTTGGTAAGGAAAACAAAGGAATATTTATATATGAAGTGTTTTTTTTTTAATGTTCTTTTGCATTTCCAACTTTTGTTCTCTCACGTTCTCTGGCCTTTATCATTTCCAGATTTCATCAGTTGTTTTGCAGCTCTGATCTTTTTCATGTGTTATTTGGACATATCTCGCCAGAAAAAGTAATTCAATCGGTGTTTTGTTTTTTCCCTAAATCATAAAACTAAAACAGCTTTTCTCTATTTCAGTCCTGGAGGTTTGCTGTCCTGCAGCCTTTAGATGTGTCACTACTTCAACACATCTGAGTCTAATAATCAGGTCATTAGCAGGACGGGAGAACTTAAATGCTTATTAAGGAGGTAATTCAGCTGTGAAGCTTTATGTAGGAACCCTGCTCTACTGCTTCCTTTCTTTTGTGTGGTGAATATTTGAACTACTGAGGCTTCAATACACTAGCCAAAACCTAAAGGCTGCTTTCTAACTAGTTTGTCCTAATAGTGCTTTTCTGTAAGTACACTTAAGCCAAAGCTGAGGTGTGTTGGCAGTCTTCTTAAGTGCTCTCTTAATAATGCTTGCAGTAAAAGGAGGTAGGAACCTTACGGAATGCAACAAAAATACATTAATTTGTTCTTTCCATCCTAAGGTATTGTTTTTACTTTTGTCCCTGCATAAGGTGAAGGAATAGGAGTTACAGTTTGCATTATTTTCCCCAGTATCCTTAAAATGTATCAAACCACTTTTCCTTTTTAGCGGTCATAATTTCCCACCATCCTTTCCACGTTTAGATAAACTCACTTAGGTTAGCGGTTTATTTTTACTCCATGATAAAGTAACTTTCACTTTTGCAATCTAAAGTCAAAACAGTATTTTTCTCGAGTGACAAGATGACAAGTGTGGTTCAGATGTTTGGCTTTCTGTCCTCCGTTAAATGCTTTCAATTTACTGCCCTCACACAAACACAAACGCACTTAATGGGCCTTCTTCTAAAACACTCACAGAGCGTCCCACTTTGAAACCTAAACGGCCAGCATCATTGAAGCTGGCTGGAGTGACTGACGAGGCATGCATGCTTTAAAGATGGTAGTTTTACTCTTCACTACCCAGATTTTCAAACAAAAGCAGTTGTATGTTGTTGGGTGAGGAGTATTAATGGGATTGGACAAAGAACAACTGTTAAGCTTTTTGAGTTTCTATTAAATTTAGCTTTTTCTATCATTTTATTTTTTTTAAACCAGGCAATTTCACAGTCCTAATCTACAACCATCAGCATAAGGGTAGATGCAAACATCCAGATTCAGCCTGGAATAAATCTAAAACGATCACACACCCTGTCAAATTCCCAGTCTTTGTGGTGAAGATATAAAAACATAAACCATATAAAATCTTCCCCTCGGCTTCATAAGTCTTCACAGCCTTAAACTAACACTTGGTCTTATACGCTGCCTAGATTGCTTTCATATGCAAATCTTGAATAGAGCCCTGACATAAATCATACTGAGTCTCAATTATGTGAAATAATTTTCAATGTCAGGATTTCACTGATGTCAGATCATTTGTATGCTTTGGCAAAAGCCGTGGTTTATAGAGGGGTTACAAAGGATCAGCGGGATCTTAAAGGTACCATTAAGGAGAAGGATGCCAAAAGAAATATCTGCTTTATATGAAGTCTATGGCAAAGAAAAGCAGACATGAGTTATTTTAGAATATTTACTCTTAATTTGAGTAGGTAAATAAGATGTTTTGCCAATTTAATTACTATTTCTACTTTTAAAACAAGATTAGTTAAAATGCACTTGAAATAAGATGATGCAATAGTTTTTTTACCTTATTTTAAAACTTTTAAATTATCTTGTTCCATTGGTAAAGGGTCTCACTTATCACCTCAATTCAAGACAAAATGCACTTATTTTAAGAAAAATTAATTCTCTAGATTTCTATTTTTTTCACTGTGATGAGATGCATGAGTATGATTTTGTTTTAAAGATAAAAAAAAGATAAATCATGTAACTGAAGTGGGATATTAGGTGGTTCCATTTACTATTGTTAATACTACACTTTGAAGTTTTAGTATCTAACTATTTATAGTCATTAGTCACAATTTTCAATCTTTCATAAAACACTTTTTGTTTCCCATTAGTTTGTTTTGTTGTTTTGGAGTAGAATTGTGTTGAAAACCTCACACTAGAGATGAAAAAAGTGATTTTATTTTATTTCCTCATTTTTGAATACTTTCAAAGAATTATCACAAGACGGGAGTTTGTCTGTTTCTGTTGCAAGCTACCGGTACTTCTTTCCTTCCTGATGGATAACTGGATTGATTTTTAAGAGCATGGCTGAATACAGGAACCTTGTTTTCTGCACATTGTTTTGTAGGAACAGCTTCTTCCTGTATTTATAGCAGCCGTTTTCCATACTGATTGGCTACATCCTGAGAGAATAGCGTAAATAGTTAGCCGCTGAATGTGACTATCAGACATTGTTAGAATACCTAAAAGGAAGTATGTTAGTTTATCTAGAACAGTATAGAGAGTGATTTACACACATCCCTCCTAATTATATTCTACATGTATGGACACACACCATGTTTAAAGGTCGGGTGTGTTTGATTTGCGTCAGCACCTGGTTTAGAGACATCCTGATGATCAAGGCACGTTTCCTCTGCAGTGATTAATGCCACTGTTTTCTTCCTATTAAGTAAATCATTTAAAAGGCCACGCCACTTATTTCCCCCTCCCTCTGGATGTGTTTGTGTAAGGCAGGGACTTGATGGTTTATATGGAACAGCTAATTTTCACCTTTTGTCTTGTAAAGGTTTGCAAGTGATTTTTACACCTTTAAGTTTCAGTGAGTTAATTTCTAAGATTTTTTTTTTTACTTTCACAATAATGGACATTTCACAGAAAGTCTTTTTTGTGGAACAGTCACCTAGCATAATGCTGCCATCACCGTGCTTGACAATTAATACAGTTTCCTTTCATTTGAGAATCCTCACTATAACTACATTGTCATAATTCTGTTATGATTAATCCAAACCCAATGAACCTTTAATTTCTAAAATTAATAACTTTAGTGCCTATAGCCTTTTTTTGTTAACCTAAAATATCCGTTTATGCAGTGATGTTAAGAGCTTAACTTTAGCTTTTAGGTTTCATCAAACCCTGGCTAAATATTCATAGTTCGTTAAAGAAGTGGTTCTACTCTGATCTTTTAGTCTGAGGGGGATGTTTATTTTGTTTAACTCATTACAAATAAACTGTTATACAGGTGCTGGTCATAAAATTAGAATATCATGAAAAAATAGATTGATTTCAGTAATTCCATTTAAAAAGTGAAACTCGTATATTATATTCATACATTACATACAAACTCATATATTTCAGATGTTTATCTTGTTTAATTTTGATGATTACAAATGACAACAAATGAAAATCTCAAATTCATCATATCAGAAAATTAGAATATTACTGAAGACCAATAAAAACAAAGGATTTATAGAAATGTTGGCCAACTGAAAAGTATGAACATGAAAAGTATGAGCATGTACAGCACTCAGTATTTAGTTGGGCCTCCTTTGGCCTGTATTACTGCAGCAATGCGGCGTGGCATGGAGTCGATCAGTCTGTGGCACTGCTCAGGTGTTATGATAGCCCAGGTTGCTCTAATAGTGGCTTTTAGCTCTTCTGAATTGTTGGGTCTGGTGTATTGCATCTTCTTCTTCACAATACCCCATAGATTTTCTATGGGGTTAAGGTCAGGAGAGTTTGCTGGCCAATTAAGAACAGGGATACCATGGTCCTTCAACCAGGTACTGGTAGCTTTGGCACTGTGTGCAGGTGCCAAGTCCTGTTGGAAAATGAAATCTGCATCTCCAAAAAGTTGGTCAGCTGCAGGAAGCATGAAGTGCTCTAAAACTTCCTGGTATGTGGCTGCGTTGACCCTGGACCTCAGAAAACACAATGGACCAACACCAGCAGATGACATGGCACCCCAAACCATCACTGACTGTGGAAACTTTACACTGGACTTCAAGCAACGTGGATGAAGTGCCTCTCTTCTTTTCCTCCAGACTCTGGGACCTTGATTTCCAAAGGAAATGCAAAATTTACTTTCATCAGAGAACATGACTTTGGACCACTCACCAGCAGTCCAGTCCTGTTTCTCTTTAGCCCAGGCAAGACGCTTCTGACGCTGTCTGTGGTTCAAGAGTGGCTTGACACAAGGAATGCGACAGCAGAAACCCATGTCTTTCATACGTCTGTGTGTGGTGGTTCTTGAAGCACTCACTCCAGCTGCAGTCCACTCTTTGTGAATCTCCCCCACATTTTTGAAGGGGTTTTGTTTCACAATCCTCTCCAGGGTGCGGTTATCTCTCTTGCTTGTACACTTTTTTCGACCACATCTTTTCCTTCCCTTCGCCTCTCTATTAATGTGCTTGGACACTGAGCTCTGTGAACAGCCAGCCTCTTTAGCGATGACCTTTTGTGTCTTGCCCTCCTTGTGCAAGGTGTCGATGGTCGTCTTTTGGACAACTGTCAAGTCAGCAGTCTTCCCCATGATTGTGTAGCCTATAGAACTAGACTGAAAGACCATTTAAAGGCTTTTGCAGGTGGTTTGAGTTAATTAGCTGATTAGAGTGTGGCACCAGGGGCCATCAATTTTGAACCTTTTCACAATATTCTAATTTTCTGATATGATGAATTTGAGATTTTCATTTGTTGTCATTTGTAATCATCAAAATTAAACAAAATAAACATCTGAAATATATGAGTTTGTATGTAATGTATGAATATAATATACAAGTTTCACTTTTTAAATGGAATTACTGAAATCAATCTACTTTTTCATGATATTCTAATTTTATGACCAGCACCTGTACAGCAGATCTTTGTTCTTCAACGAACAAAGTGAAAATCTATAAATAAAGTTGGTGAGTCAGTGGGCCCTGCAGCGGAGAAGCCACTATGGCTGAACAACTGAGAGTTGGCCTAATTTAAAACACGGAGGCTGATGGGTACATAGATGTTTGTCTGTATGCACTGTTAAAGGGGATGTGTTTGTGAGTCGGCTCCCAGCGCATCAACTTCATCAGAGGTAGTGAACTTAGTTCTGACTCAGGAAAAACAGACCTTGGGATTAGAGAACATTGGAAGGTAATGTAATGGTTGTGTTGTGAAATGGTGTTCATTTCTACACTATAACTTGAAAACAAATTACTTGGGTTCAGTCGATAGTTCAAGATAGTTCATGCTTAACCATTTGATTTAGGTTTATAATTTTGTCTTGCTAAACTGGAAAAGAAGTTAAACTAATCTGCATAAACTCTTTTAAAAAAATTGGTAACTTGCAAATGTTTTTATTCCATTTGTATTTTTTTTTCCTCTTTGTCCATTTTAGCCAGTGTTGCCACTGTAATCTAGGTCACACTCGGTCATACATGCTGCAAACTATTCAGGCTTTTCCCTACAAGTTGGTGCTAATGAGCACCAATTACAAAAAACAGTCAAAGATACCTTCACCAGTCTGGCAATATAACCTTTTAGGTCAGAGTCACCTGATCAATGCCATGCTTATTTAAACTATCGACATTTTATCATCAGTGACAGAAAAAATTCACAGCTGACAGGAAAGGAATTAAGACACCTAAAGACTTTAAATTCGAATATGAGCTCTAACTACCACAAAATGCTATTTTAAGGAATTTCACAAACCGTTTTTGTTCATTAGCGTTCACTTTAGGTTTTAGTCCATGGTGATTGAAAGGTTCAGAGGAATAATAAAGCCTTCTAAGTATAGATACCAGAAAAACATTGCAATTGTTCTTCCTACAATTCAAAAATTCTAAACTAATTTTAGATTCTTTTTTGCATTGTTTGGTTTTTGGATCCCAAGAATAAAACCCGACGAATACTCAAAACTGTTTAACATGGAAACGTTTTTCCCAAATGTCTTTGAAATGAAATGATGAAGGTGATGATCTTAGCTCTGCACCTTTTTATTCCTGGTCAGTTTTTTTTAAAACTCCTCCACTGTACCTCCTGCTTTGTTTTTCCCTATTAAGCTCAATTTAACTGCAGTGTTATGCTTTATCACTTAAATATCAGTGTTCACTCTATTGAAGCACCTATTTCATTATTACAGCTTTAACATCTGATATAAACATCTAAAATACTGATTCAATGTGTTTGGGATTGTTTCTTAGCTTTAGCACATGGACTACAAAAGAAGTAATCTGTTCTGACACTACTTTGTTCACAATGTAGTAGTTAGCTGAGGCATAGTGCTGTGAAGTAGTTGCATCCAGGTGACTGGTAGAGCAGGAAGGAAATGGTTCATTACCATCAAATTAAAGGCTTTTCCTTAAACCCCACCTCTCAAACACACACACAAGCCTCCTCTGAAATCTGCATTCAAATGGATAGGCGCAGATCTGGGCCATCACATTTATAAAAAGCATTTTGTAAAAAGATAAGTGTTAAATCAACATTCCTTGTCATTCTGCAGGTCTACAGGCAGGACTGCGAGACGTTCGGAATGGTTGTGAAAATGCTCGTGGCTAAGGATCCCAACTTGGAGAAACAGCTGCAAGTTCCTCTCAGAGAGAACCTTGGAGAGATACGAGAGCGCTGTCTGAGCGACCTTAAGCACTTCATCAGAGAGCTGGATGAGGAGGTCCGGCTGCAAGAACCGACAGTCTGTGACTCTGCCACTCCCGCCATTTCCCAGAAACTCTCAAAGACCGGAGTGAACCACAGCTCATCTTTCTGATTTGGTTTTTTGTTTTTTTTTTTCCTGACTCCGCTCCAATAATGTGAGGAATTTTTGGAATGATCGGCTCAAATTTAGGATTGTTTGGCTGAACGTACTGTAGGTCACAGCAAGCCATGAAACTCTTCACAGGACTGACCAGTGTTATATTTGAATGGACCCTTTATTAGGTTTTCTATGAAATATGTCAAAATATTCTAAACGATATTCTGTTTAATGTTAAATTGTTATTTAAAATTAAGTCACCATGGCTCCCATGGGTTCGGTTTGACGTTCATTTTTCAAGCATTTTCTCACATTTTGTAAGTCTTGTTTTCTGGTATGTGAATTGAATTATAAATCGTCAGATGTATGTATATGTATAAGTTGGTGCTGCAAATGAAAAAACTGTTAAAAGATCATATAAATTTGTACTGTCTTGAAATATTTGAATTTGACTTTTTGCTTTTTAAAAGTGTGCAGTAAACATGCAAATCCTATCCATCTTTATATAAATCTTATATTGCTTAATTGTTGGCAGCTATGGTAAATGAATACATGTAAAAGCTTTTTGGCTTTAAAGTTACCATATTTTATTACATCACTTACTGCTCATCACCTTGGTTTTAATTAGAAATGGAAAATTTAAATCACAAGCCTTGCACTTTTTGAAAACAATGCCACATGCTTTGTACATCAAGATTTAGGCAGTTTGGCCCATTCTTCTTTGCAGTACATCTAAAAATCCATCAGGTTGGATAGGAAACGTCTGCATGGCCATTTTCAGGTCTGCCAGAGCTGTTCAATCCGATTTGAGTCTGGACTCTGGCTTGGACACTCCAGGACATTAAGGAAGTATTTCTAAAGCCATTTTGGGATCTTGGCAATGCTTTAGGTCGTTTCCCCAGTCTGAAGTCCAGGGAGCTCTGAAGCAGATTTTCCATTCAGGGTGTCTCTTTGCATTTCTGCATTCATCTTTCCTTCTGTCTTGACTACGCTGACATCTGCAAAAAAAAAATAATAATCCCCATAACTCTTTGCACCAACTTTGCCCATGGTATTAGCCTGGTGATGAGTGGTGGTTGGTTTCCTCCAAAATGACACCTGGCATTCACATCAGAGTTAAATCATTGTTTTAGATAAGAGAATGATCATGGAATTTGTCAAAAGGTGTCTAAAGGACTTCCAGACCAAGCTAAAAACACATTTAAAAGTGGCTTTCATCTGGACACTACTGTACAGGCCTGAATGGTGGCAGCAGGGATTGTTGTCCTTCCGGAAGGTTCTTGGTCACCTCTTCTAAGGGCCCCTAACCAGCTCTAGAAAGAGCCCAGGTGGTTCCAAACTTATTCCATTAATAAACAAAGTGCTCACTAGAAACTTCAAAGCAGTATTTTTATTTTCCAGTGTTTTTCCCCAGATTTGTGTCTCCAGACAATCCTGTCTAGGAGATCCACACCCATTTCAATTCAATTCATGTTCCATGTTTGCACTCTGACAGGCACCACCAACTATGCCACCTTAAAGACAAGTTTGCGCCTCTTTTAGTTAAGTCCATTCAGCTGAATTACAATGGGAGGACTCCATTTAAACTGTTAAAACCTTTTCAGAATGATTAGTGACAATATTATATAAAACAATATTCACATCAGCTCAATCTTCAATGCTTCAGTAAATGCAGTTTCTCAGTTTTCTTTTTTCAGTAACTCAGCAAATATCTCCAAAAACCTTTTTTTTTTTATTGTTATAAGTTATTGTTTGCAGAATTTTGAGAAAAGAGATTAATTTAGAACCCTTTGGAATAAGGCTGCACTATAGCTAAATGTGTAAGACCTGCAGCCATGTGCATTCCTGTCACCCTGTGTTGCATTTGTTTGACATAAAATGATTACAAATATATGTTTCCAATTGCATCTTAATTCTCATGGAATAACAAATGGTTCAACAAAATGTTGAAGCATAAATTAAATCAAACCTTTCTCAGTTACATACACAGCACTGAATCAAGGTTGTATTTTTTTTAAGTTTTTTTCTTTGGCTACCTTTTAAAGAAGTAACATATAGGGAGCCATTTTAGCCAAGGTTGGATAATCCTGTTTTACATGTAATTAGAAAGAGGAAAATCCTCAATTAATGTGTTGCTTTTTGTTTCTATATGATATATTGTAAGATATCAATTACTATAATAAATAAAAACAACCAAAATATATTTAATTAGGAAAAAACATTTTATTGAATTTTTGCAGTTCTTGTTTATTTTTTCCCTAAAATGTTCATAGGCCCTCTGGCAAAACCACAAGGGCCTCCACTTTTAAATATTGCTGGCCTGGTCACCTGAAAAGAAAAAAAATACAAACCTTCCTTTCTCTGACTGCAGATACAAGCGCAATTGGGTAGCTGTTTTCCTGTAACCATTTACTGACTTCTAAACATCAGTACCCATCTAGATTACATTAGTTTGTTTACTTTTGGTTCCCATTTTGAAGAAGGCAAATAGAGAAGAAGTTATGTGCACGTAGCTTGAGAAGAGAGATTAATTTAGTACACGTTGGAATAAGGCTGCACAATGGCTAAATGTAGAAGGCATGCAGCCATCCAATATGTATCCTCGGTGATTAAAAGTTAGTCAAATGTTTTGATTACATGTTTATAGTCTTCTAAAGCACCAATAAATATGGTACTAGTGACTTCTTAATGTAAGGGTCTTTATCCAGCTCTGAATATTTTTTTCATTCAAACCATAAACAATCCATGGATGAAAGATAAATGGTCAAAAAAACCTATGTAATGATGAAAAACATTGCTGGAATATTGTGAAGGTGCTGCACTGAAACCAGACAAAAGTCCATGTAAAGGTTTTAGAAACTGTCTCTACTCCAAGCTCAAGTCAGTCATGAAAAAGACATCAATAAAACTTGATTCAAATAGAAAATTCTCAAAGCATTGGAGAAAAAAAAAATTTATTACAGGCTTTTACATCATAAAGCATATGTTTGGTTATCTTAGGGCAACGGTGGTGATCAGATCCAAACACGGGTGTGTTTCTGCCAGTTCTGTATACGGAATATGAGTAAATAATGTGGGAGGTGGTGCAAATAATCAGGAATAACAAGACCATTCTCTGTGAATAAAGCTGTACCATGTTTCTCTTCTTTTTTTATACTCATCTACCTCAAACAAAACAGTTTTTACACTTCCAAATGAGTATAAAAATACCAGTCCTGAAATTTTAACTTATTATATACAATTTTCTTGTCTTGCTAAACATTAAATAATTTTTCGGTTAGTTTCTAGGTTCAACTTCCATTGTCAACCTCCAGAAAATGCACTTATATACTGTTGCCAAAGTGAACATTTCAAGACTTCCACTCGTTACACACATTCTATAGGCTAACTGTTGAGCATTTGGCCAGTTTTGCATACATGTAAGATGTGTCTTAACAACTTAACAATAGCCTCTTTACAAAATATGACAAACCTAGCTTAACATCTTTACAATGTTGCATGTTTAGTGCACTTTCCGACATCCTTAAGGTGGTTTGCTAAGAAATTATACAGTTTTTGGAGCTGTGGCCTTTTCTCCGACCAGTCTGTGAGCCATGGCTGAGGGCCGTGAGGGCAGTCACCCTCGTCGGGTAGTCTTCTGTGTAGTAGCGCCCAACCGCTCGAGGCTGGGGTATTGGTTGACCGAGGAAATATCCCTCTTCCTCAGAGTCCGATGATGAAGAGGAACAAGTGGAACACCACTCGTCCTCGTCTCTGTGGAGACCCATGAAATGTTCAAACCGTGAGTCCTTCTGGTTTGAACTACGGATCATATAGTCAGATCGGGTTTGAGTGTAGGATAGCGGCAGCATGTGTGTAGGGTGCTGTAGATGCATCGCACCATATTGTGGGTTTACGATATCCTGCTGCTGATGTTCAAATGGCCTTTGAGCTCTCTCCACAGGTACCATGTGAAGGGCGTTGTCCGAACGGGTCTTGCGACTCCTGTGGCGCCGGCCCTGTCGGTGGTGTTGGGGCCGGCTTCTGCCATGCTGGCTTGTCGAGTGGCTTCTTGCTCTGCCAAGCTCATCTGGGCAGCATGCTCTCCTCTGTGGCTTCTCACTCATGGGATGTTTCATGACTGTGACCTCATATCCATCATTGTATCCATTGTCCACTGTGTCCTCTGAGAACTTGACCATCTGGGGTGGCCTGGAATGCGACTTGCTCCTCCTTAGAGCTGGAGCCTGAACAAAGGATGCGGGAAGGCCCTCTGAATGTGGAGAAATTGAGTGAAGGCCTACAGGAGGGACCACCCTCATTCCAAGGGCCACTGAATTTTCTGCTTCTTCAACTCTCTTTTCAATGTTGAGACTAAGGGAGTTGGCACTGTGGTGAATATGGGATGAATTAAAGGTTCCCATGTTGCTCATGTTCTCGCACTCTGTCAGAGAGGAATCCTGAACTGCATGAAGATTGTAGACTGTGGGTGCATCTCCATCCACTGAAGCACCTAGTAGAGTAAACAAGGAATATCTGTTGGAATGTGTTTTTATACATTAAAATAGTGGAAAAACCTAATGTAGGAAATAAGGACCATACATACCAGTGATGTTTGACAAAGCAAGGGAGTCCATGGAGTCTCCAACACCATTCTCAACCTTCCTCAACTCATCAGCGATACATTCTAGGGAGTCTTCATACCACTGTCTTGTGTCTGGCCAAAAAGCCTGTTTACCTATTCCAGACTGCTCCTGATCTTGGTCAAGTTCCAGCTCTTGGATCTTTCTTGCACTTGCAGGACCTGGATGACTCCCATAAGCAGAGTCACCGAGGCCATCTTGCGACTGGGCCCAGTACATCTCCGGTAGATGTTTCTTGTCCATCAAGCCTGGACTGAGGCTGTTAGCTCGAGATTGATCAGAAGTCTGGCTCTGAGTGGGACTGGTAGGGGTGGGAGAGGAGGGGTTAAGGCCCACAGATGTAGAATCAGACTTCAGCCATGGATCCGACACACCTATTAGCCTTGTTGAGTCACTGTTGGGGCTTGGTGATTTTAGGGATTGAGGTTGGAGTTGGTGCAGCATACCACGGTCACCAAACTTAAGCAGAAGCTGAGTCATATAGTCGTCATGCTGAGCCCACTCCTCCGGATCCTCCTCTCCGGCAGCTTCCTGCTCCTCCCGCTCCCTCCAGAACCTCTCCTCCTCAAGACCAAGATGGGTTAGCTTACTCCCCACTATATCAATGTCGCCATCAGCATCTCTATTGCCCTGTCCCTCCGCAAAACCTTGCTCATAAGGCGCAACTGTAGCAGGAGGGTTAAATAGCTGTGACTGTCTCCACTCTTCAGCAGGCCTACTGCTCTTCCCCATGCGAATGCTCCGGCGGGACTCCCGAGAACGGGCCGACTGGAAAGCAGAATCTGATGAGTCCGAGGCATGTACATCTTCACCTTGGCTGCAGGCCTTTGAGCAATAGATGCGACCTTGCTTGGGTAAGAAGGGACAACCCAGCAAGGACGTCTTACATTGGGCACAACAAAAGCATTGGTCGGTGGCGTGCCAGTGAACACCCTCATAGGTCATCTGGGCATGGTCAACGCCTATAGAAAGGAAAAACAAGAATCCCAATACAGTAAGCATGTTTTCAAGCGCCTGACTGAGAATGTAGATATGGCAAATAACATCTCAAAGCAATATTTATATTTCATAAAGTTGTTTCTAATTTTCTAACATTATAGCCCTTTATTCTCCTTTTTATAAATAAAAATAATATTTTTTTGTTACATCTGTATTTTCTTTAATAATGAGCAGTTTCCCTCCTAACTGCTCTCACCACTCTCTCTTTTCCCGGTGTCAGGGGGCTGAATAAAAATGCATACTAGATGTTTGGTATGCAAACAGAGAGATTCTTTGTTTTTTCTCATGATTTTAGTGATGACTTACCAATGTTTTCCCCACAGGCCTCACAGTACTCTGCATACAGGGACTCAAAGCACCCACAGCAGTAGGGACGTCCATTTTTCATGATGTATCGCTGTCCGCCCAGCATCGTCCCGCACTCAAAACAGGCAAAGTGCTTCATGTGCCAGTGACGTCCCTCCGCCTCAGTGCATTCATCTGCAAAGATGATCTATGACGGCAAATTTGGAAACCGTTGTTAGTTTGCATCAGTTTTACATACTACAGTTGTCGGTTACTATTAAAACAGCTGTGTTGGTTACCTCATCACAAGAGGAGCAGCGGGGTTTCATGAGCTCAGCATGGTGTCTTCCGCAGAAGATTTTGCCATTTTGATAGAAGTAGATGAGATCCACCAGGAGCTCTTGGCATGTGGAGCATGCAAAGCAGGCCGGGTGCCAGCAGGGACCTGGCCCAGCTCTGGAGGCAAAAATGGCCATCTCCCCTCCATTAATCCCTCCACGACACTATCAGAAACAAACAGGAAGTAATCTGTGAGATAAAGCCACCAACTTTGACAGTGTTAATTCACTTTCATTGGAAAAAATGCAATTATGACCATGTTAAGCCAGACAATCTCTAATAAGTATGATTAGTGACAAACTATTGCTAGTGAAGCTGGTCGTTTATCGAGAACAGTATCCAAGCATGCCCAATTCGAAGGAAGATGTTCATCAAATAGTGAATTCACAAACTAATTAACACATTGTACAAAGTATGAACTGTGGCTAGAGTCAATGCATCTGGATGCTGCCTAAACCAACACATGTCAAGGCCTGTCTTAAGTTTCTCAATTACGATTTGGATGATAGAAAGAGAGACCAAAATAGAAATTTTTGGTCATAATTCCACTATTTGGAGAAAAAAAAAATGAGTACCATCCCAAGAACACCATCCCTACTGTGAAGGAATTGGGTGGGTATGATTTTTTAATGTATGATTTTTCGATGTATGATTACAAAATTAAAAAATTTAGATTTTTGTCACTCGCAGTTGACATGCACCTACGATGATAATTTCAGACTCCTCCACGAAGTGGGAGAACTTGGAAAATAGCGTTCAAATACTTATTTTTCTCACTTTATAAGTTCTCATTTTTACATACAACACAATAAAAAGTGATTACACCTGGAGTGTACTGAAACTAAAGATAATGTTGAGGCGTACTAAATCTTTAGGAGTGAGCGCTCACCATGAAATCATCACTAATTCATTGGAAAGCACCTCTGATCTGTAAAGCGGCCTTGGCCTTCTGACAAAAGATCTCATGACTCCACAGAGATCATTAAAGCCTGTCTGAACACACAGTCTTTATATAACTAGGCATATTTATAAGGCATTCATAGGCTGCTATGGGACTGCATGCCCAGCTGTTAGCCATTATGACCAGTTTGGACAGACTGGGTCCTTGAAAACTGTGGTGTTGCATATCCCTAAAGGCTAAGACCAGCAAAGCAATGAGGTTTGAGCTGCCATTAAATGCCCTTTGGTTGACAATAGCATATGTTTGCAGAGCTGCCGTAAATATGTGCATGTCCGGTCCAACGTGTGTGTATGTGTCCGCTGGAATCCTGTGAGCATGTGTGTGACCTTGCATCCCCTCCATTTCAGCGTCTGTGCCTGAGTGGTGACAGACTGCATCTGAATGTTCAGAGAGGGGGATTAGATTCATCTGCTCCCTCCAGGACGTCTGGAAGAGGATGTGGTTGACTCACTCTTCAGAGACAAATGCATCGGAAGCCACATAACACCAATATTTATGTTGGGTGAAATGAGAGGAAGGCTTTTTTTTTTCAGAAATATGATCAGCAGCACTTAACGTTTCTGTTTAAAACGTCTGCAAATGTTGTTGCATTGCGTCCGGAGCTCAACCTGACTTTTCTCTATTTCCAAAATGCCAAGATGTCTTGCAATTAGCTCCAAATACTGAAAAGATCTAGTTACAGCACTTAATATGGAATTACTTGCTACGTACTGTGACTTGTTTGGATAAAAACAGGATTTTAGAAACCTGTGCAAGAATGACTAATTAATCTGGCCACTTTTTTCTCTCACGCTGGGTTATAGATAGCTGGCAGGAAATTGGCTGAGCTTCTCATGAGGAACTGGCCTCTCTGCTCAGCTTAAACATGAGCCCTCCAATTTCCCTGTTTCCTCTCCTGCCCTAATGAGGAAGTTTATGTCAGTGATTAAAACGGCTATTTTAGCTGGGCAGGACCGGCCCTTCAGGCTGCAATGAATAGGATACTGGATTTGGCGCACATGATATAAATAGCTGTAGACCCTCCGGTTGGTTTATTTGTGACCGTTATCTTACCTCAGTGTATGTGTACACAGTAATATAAGTGTGTATGTGTGAGAGGTGCATACATTTTCACAACGGGTGTGTTGCAGGGCTCTCGGGAGGATCTTTGGCGTTCCTCTGCCTAGTGCCTCCCTCTTCCTTTGGTTGCTGAACATTTGGAGCTCCCTCTTTTCCTCCTCTGTTAAAGACTGACAGTAGCGCAACTGTTGGAAGAAAAAATAATGGAAATACAAGCAAAAAAAAAGGGTTGGTTACTGACAGTTCAACAACTTTAAGTTTGTATTTATCTGCTGATTGAAGTGATGGGGTATATAATATAATTGGTGATATAATTACGTGTTTGTATTGAGCCCCTATGAGATCTTACTTTGTAGGTGTACCAGCTTTGGATATCTAATTAAAGAGACAATAACTTTTCTTCTTAAACAAAGAACTGAAGCTCATTCCGTCTGGATCCATTTTGCATGATCAACTATTTCTTAAATCTTGCCACAGATTCATAATTTTAGGTCTGGACTTGGCCATACAGGAATGTACCTGAATCTGAAACATGCTGTTTGTTGGCTTAAGGCTGATTTATACTTCGAAACTAAGTCATCTGCGTAGGTGTCGCAGTAAATGCAGAGACGTCCCCGCCCCCTCCGCAGACACTCTGCTGCACCTCTCCCAAACTGTAGGTGACCGCAGACAGGAGGCATCTGATTGGTCAATTCTACATCCGCTCTACACTATGCATATTTCCTGTTTGGTACCTTACCGGCTTGTTTTGTTTGTATGACCCCCATTGTGGAAAACGACTTGTGCAGATGGACCAGCTAGAAGAGCGAGGTGCGAAAGAACCCTGGTACGTGGATCCCTGCTCTTTTTCACCCTCATGTCCCTCCGTTGTCGTACAAACTTGCCCCCACTTTCTCACCGCCTCTGCCGTCTCTATACCTAGAGCTAGTTGGTGATTTTCCCCTTTTGCGTTGTGGCGTGGAATAAACATAGCGCAGACCACGCTTCAATAATGAGTATAAATCAATGTCAGCGTCATACCTAAGACAAGCTCACTGCGACACACTGCTGAGGGAGTATAACCAGCCCTTTAGACTCATTGTCCCGCTAGTAAGTAAACTTCCCCCCTCGTCTTGTACCTTTTATAACCTCTAATTGGTTTCTGCCTTGCACTGCAAAAACCATCTGGAAATAAGTAAAAAATTCTTAAAGGTATAGTGGAGGATGATCCTTTTCCAGGTGGTTCATCAAAATAAGTGGTCCTCCTAATTGTCAATCATTCTGGTGATATGTTTACGTAATGCTGTCCTACGTGCTCATACTCCTTTTTACTACCGGTGGTGAGTCTGACATAGTGGAAAAATTGCAAATCTTCTATTAGAAAGTAAGCTTGTGCGCAACGCAAACAGAAACTTTTAAACAGAGCGTGCTCTTGCACGTGTTTAATAGGCGTTCCCTCTTGGGAGTGAGCACAGCGTTGTGCATGTGCATTTGTTTTTTCAAACTGCAGAGGGCAGGTCTTTTCAAATATTCGCGTAAACCCTCCACTATACCTTTAAATAAGTGTATTTACCCTTTTTTGAGTAGGTAAACAAGATGATTTGCCAATGGAATTAGTATTTTTACTCTTAAAATACAATATTTAGATTACATGCACTTTAAATAAGACACTGCACTTATTTTAAATTTAAATTAAAGAAATAAGGCACTTATTTTGAGAAAAAATATTTATTTAGATTTCTATTTTTTGCAATGTGTATCATACTTCAAAGTGAGAATAGTGTATTTAGAGTGATGTTCAATTAATGTTTTCTGTCATATGTGTTAACATTTCCATATCACAAAAAATCAATCATGGTGATCAGCTTTCCAGTCCCTAGTTAGGACAAAAATCGCAACATGATCAAAAAGTTTTAACTTGTGTTCCCTACATAGCTTCTTACAAACTTTAAATGGGACCTTTTATGTTTTTTTTTCTCTTCGTTTCTGGCCACTCTTTCATGAAGTCCAGGTTTAGAAAGCCTCAAGATTTACCATAAGCCTCTTGGTTGTTATCTTGCTAATGTTCTCCTTGCCCAGTCAGTTTACAGTTGCATATAAGCTCTGTCTCTGTAGATGATAAAATAAACAGTACTCTGGGAGATGTTCAAAGCTTGGGATCATGTTTTTTTTCTCTTCCTTTCTTCATCTTGACCAAGCTTTATCTCAGCCACGAGGAATCTGGCTTTATTCAAGATTAAATTACTATTTACAAATTAGCCAGTTGGGATTTTTCACAGGGGAATCAGAGTGAAAGAAATGAAAAATAAACATCCAGTAGAGTTTATTTTGTTTGTAACAAATAATAAAAAAGAAATGAAAAACATATGTCCATCCTATTACTATGCACGACTTACTAATGGTCTAATTTAGAAAAAAAAACAAAAAAAAAACAATAGATTATGGTGAGGGTTGATGTTGCAAGGCGACACTGTTTAAAAGTTAAAGGATATTCATACCGTTACCTTAAACACTGTCTGCTTTTAAGTGGAAAGCAAAAGATAAACTAGCTTAAATTATAGCACTGCTTTCATCTCTCTTTGCATGCTTGGATAACGCAATTCTAAAAAGTCCAAATATGGTTAAAGAAAGAGTTTGATTAAAGCCAATTATCTGCCCAAGGCTACTTTGAAAGGATGGCATAAGCAATATACAAACACTTCCTCGGTATTTAGAGAAAAGGTTGAGGGCTCAGATAAAAGACTAGGGCTGTCCTAACAACCAGCTCAGATGATCTCTAAACATCAGTCAGCGATGTTTTCTGTCTCTTTCTCTTTTCAACTCCACGCACACACAGAAAGACTTCTTATCCCTCCTAACCACAGCGACTCAGCCTCATTTTGTTTCCCCCTGCCATCAGACATAATAAAAAATGCTCAGTCAAACACTGCCTGTGCGATAAGTGTACCTATTGTATATTTCCCATATGTGTACACACAGACCACCACTGTCTATCTGGTGATAGCCCTCCACCATATCACATAATGTAAATTACAGTGTTGTACATGTGAAAGAGGAGCTGGTTTACACATCATAAATAGAGACAACAGAAGAGATAGTTGTTTGCTATACTATCACACATTTATGTTTTGTTGGGTTTGAAGGAATGCAGCTATTGTTTTAGGTTTCTTTTTAGAAAGAACTGGTATTGTCTGCTCAACCACATGTAGGTTGCAGACATGGGAAATGTGGAGTCAACAAGTTATCTACATGTCATGTATTTGTTCTACACAGCCACTGAAGCAGGTGAGTCCAATCTTCATCGTGAATTAACCTGTGCAGATTGGACTCACCTGGTTAATTGGCTGGGTAGATTAAATACAAGACATGGAGAGGACTTGTTGACTCCACATTTCCCAATTCTGTTAAGTTGTAATTTATCTGCCAACCTAAGTTCCCAGGACCTTGCAAACATCCAGCTGTAGCCAAGATGTTTGGATATAAGTTTAGTGTTTATTAATAGACTGGGTAGGGAAGTATTTGGAGACCCTCAACCTTGAAACTTAACATCTTTGAATTTAGAAGAATATTGCATAGTTTTGTGTGCATTTTTGACAGGAATGCAGCTTCTGGTTTCATTAAAAAAATATAGCTACAGATTTGTTGCAGCACCAAACAAAATAAGGCTTGAATAAAATAGGCTGGATTTGAGTTGAATTAAGTTAAGATAAATTAAGGTTTAGTTAAGGTTACTTTATTTGAACTGAACTTGAATTGTTTGTTTAAGTTAAAGATGTAATCATTGGTTATTCTAGTGAGGTAATCTTAAAATTTGGATACACTAAATATTCTGAATATTCCCAGCACTTTTCTTCTGCACTTTTTCCTCCCACTTCATTCCCACAAATATTCATAAATTCCAGCTTCTTTAGCAAAACTTTTTATGCCTTACACTGGTAACAGGGTCAACAAATCTCTTGCTATTCGCATGATTTATTAGCTCATAACATTTAGGTCATACATTTTTACCTTTTCTGTGAATCCAATTTTGTTTTAAGGCATATCAGTCAAAATGAGCAGAAAAATGCTTAAATGTATCCCTTTTTGTAATTAATTTATATAACATCTGATCTTGGTTTGATTGAAATATCAAAAAAAAATTAGGGTTCTCCCCTTGTTTATTTCTGATTGAGCTTCTTTTTAAAGTTTTCAGTTCCACTTTGATTTGTTATTCTATGTTTTCTTGTTCATTGGTTTCTTTTTTGTGTTATATTTATGCAGTTTTGTATTTCTTAAGTTACACTCTGTTGCCCCCTTGTTCCTGTTTCCTTCCCCCTTGGCTCCCTTCTAGTTAGTTCTATTCACACCTGCTCCATATTAGCTCATTAGCCCATTCTTTGTTCTGTTCCTCTTATATACATCTACTCTGCAGTTGCTGGTTGCTTGTTGGTTTGCTGCTTTGTTGTTACTTGGCTCCCTGTGTGAAGTGCTCCCTGGCATCTTCTGGTTCTTTGATTTTCTGTATATTTGATTTTTTTTTTTTTTTTAGTTTAGCCTCAGCTGCCTTTGGGTTTTCCATTAAATCTGCCAAATCATTTCTGCCTCCTTATCTCTGCATTGGGTCCTAAACAACCTCCACACAAACCTGACAAAAACTAGATGTTATCATATTCTAAAGTATTAAGAATAATTCATACATGCAGTTTTAAGCTATCTGCCAACAAAACTAGAGCCCTTTCCTGAAAGATGTGTAAAAACAAATAAAGCACTATAAACCATGGTTTTACAGATTGCTTATTTAGTTAGATATCTATGTATCTATTTAAAAGCAAAATCTAGTTTTCTACACTGATAATCTCCATCTTATTTTGTAGATCTTGTTTTTCTGTTCATACTCTGATCACAGAGTTTTTCTACCTCATTGTCATGCGGTGGCAGCTGGTAGAGGAGCTGTCTGATCCTGTGCTTCTCTCCCGGGCTGTTGACGTACGGCACCTTGTCTTCGGGTAGACAGGCGAAATACATCTGGACCTGAAGAAGGAGAGACGCGTGCATGAGCAGATCTGAACCTTTGTCAGGCCATTCAATAACTCATTTGTCGGGCTGCTTAAAGGCAATAAAGATAGGAAGGTCTTTTGCTGTCATCCGGGCGTATCAGTGTGTGTCTTTCTTTTGTGACTCTATGGGCCAAACATGTCAATCTATATCTAGTCACAGGCGCCTGACTGTGAAATCTCTTCACACACAAGCAGACAGCGAGGGATTGTAAATGTTAATGTTTGCCTCGGTTAATTTCCCTTGACAGGAGGAACGGAAGCCAGAGCAAAAAGGTGCTTTCATGTCCATGGAGGGGAAAAAAACACATGGCAAATTATTTTCTGACTAAAGGTTGAACTGAAAGTCTTTATGCTGGATACACACAGTTAAATGAGGATGAGCAGATGCTCAGTCAGGGCATGCCTGCACAAAAAAAATCTCTTACTTGAACTAAACCTCCTGCTTATCGCAAACGATTTCACACAATTAAACTCCCATTACGTGTGTTGGTTTCTTAGGCTTTTGTCAGCAAGTTATCTTTTGCTGAAATTAGATGGGTAATCTTAAAGACACAATGAAAGACGTAGATTATACGTAAAGCTCTCTAAACGGTCAAAGTGAATCACTTTGGAAGGAAGGCTTTACCTGTTCAGGCCTGAGTCCGGGTGGCACCCAGGCATACTCCTCCAGCACACAGCCAGAGTCGTCGTCTGAGGTAGAGCTCCTCTGGAATACCACAGACGTCATCTTCCCCATCTTTCCCCCCGAACGAGCCTCCATGTCTGACCCACGGGGTGATGGACGTTCCCTCCTGTCGCTTCGATCAAGGTTCATCACACTCAGGTTCTGTGGAGACAAAATGAACGGATTGAGCATTCATTTTTTACAAATTTCAACATTTGTAATAGAAATTTAAACATCTGGGTTGACATCAGAGCAACCTGTGATGTCATTTAAACCTGTGATGGTGTGTTTCTTGGGCAAATCTCCCACTGCTCCAGAGGCTTGTCAAAAGATATGAGTAAAGATAAAATATTTTCTTCCTTTCCATGTTTTTATCTAATTATACAAAAAGGCCTGCGTTTACAATTTCATCATTTTTCTGTCTGGAATATCGCTGTTACTAAATTTCTCACAATTATTGTTTGCAATTGCTAACAATCAGTCAATTTTCCCATTGTTTCTTTAAGTCTCTCAACAATATAATTACATCTACCCCAGTGGTGTGGTGGGAGTTTCACATACTCGCTTCAAAATAAAACAATATTGGAAGAGCAGAGAGAAAACAGTGAAGTAAAAACATTTCTCACCAATTTAACACCGATTCAGTTCACAGGTCAAATAAAAGAATAACATTTGTGGGGGCACACAGCAGAGATGGCCACTTGGATTATAACTGGATCAGTCACTTAAGACTAGATGGAATCATATTGATTTTTTCATTTAGTTTAAAAAGTGAGAGCATAACAGCCTTCTTATTTTCTCTCTCATATTCTCAGATTTTTATCCTGTTCATTGCCACTCAGGGTCCCCCAGGAGCCCCACTAATAATCTCTGGGTGCTGCACTGTGGCCACCATTCCTTAAGGGTGTGTGATACATTTGCAGATGACACGTTTTAACAATGAAAAGCAATAGATATTAGGGCTGCAACTAAGGATTATTTTGCAAATCGATTAATCTACTGATTTTGTTTTTTGTTTTTGTTTATTCAATTAATAATTGGATAAAAAAGGTTCCTTAAAGAAGATTTTTTACAAAATTAAACTAGATGAAACTTAAACTTTTCCACTTGAGGAGTTCTAGATAGCCCATATTGACAGATGAAAATATATCTATTTTTTTTACTTAAATAGAAACAATTTTATAATTTTGGTATAATTACTTGCTCTGTCAACTAAAGGCCTCTATAGGTTTTACAGCCTCTATACTCCATTTAACAATTAACCAGTTACTAAATTAGTTGACAATTATTTCAATTAATTAGCCCTAAAAAATATAAATGGGTATTTAGGAATAGTGCCTTCAAAAATAAATAGATATTTTATACACATATTGCTAAATTTAAATAATCTAATAGCTGCCTACAGATAATCCATATGCAAAACAATGAAGAGTTTTAGATCAATGAGAGTTTTACATCTCCTATGATCAACAGTAATAAACAATATTTGAAGGCATCTTTTATTTTGACCTTATAGAATGAAAATAGGAACGGACAGATAATGCACTATTTAGCTGTTTAAAAACAGAGCCTTATAGTTTGAATAAAAGTTACGAAAATTTTATTTCTTTTGTAATAAAAAAAGAACATTTATCTAATTTTATTAGGACTACCTACCACAGATTAGAAACTCTGAGAAAAAGTATACAGATTTAAATGAGCTCAAGCAAAGTAAGACAAAACCAGGGATTCTGTCAACTAAAGAGCTCATCAGACAAGCCGTTGCATTGAAATATGCTAATAATATACAGATGTTTAGTGCGTAGAGTCTGACAGGAAATACAACACTTTGTTCTGTAAAAGTTTAGAAAAAACAATCCACTGGACTTGGATTTCAAGGTTTGAAGACGTTTCGCTCCCTCTCCAGGAAGCTTTCTCAATTCAAATGTCTAGGTCAGCAGTGAGTTGAGGCTTTATATGGACAAGGCCTTGTATTGCTTGGAACCATGCAAATTGAACCGATGAGCGGGTCGTTTGGTTCCATTGTTGGCCTGTAATACCTGAAACCTGTCTATGATGAACTTTTACAGAATGACTATGACCTGGATGACTGAGAATCTTCATCAGCATACAACACTTTGTCTTAACCAAGAACCCTATAGTCTGAATAGAAAGCCACTCAGCTACAACATGCACTCATACTGCTGCAGGAATCTACTTTCAGGAGCATTGCAAACAGCCTTTGTTATCAGCTTTTATGAGCTGATAACGGTTGGACCGGCAAGTGATTGGAGACCCTTCTAGCCGTACCCCATCTGCCTCCCCCTCCTCCGCCATCAGCAGTAGCCTCCTTATCTCACAGCAGCTATGTTCTCCAGATCCCTCTCAACCTGATAACAAGTGCTAAAGGTGTCGAAAAGGCCACTTCTCCGTAGCCCCTACCCACGCTCTGTGTCTTTCACATGCAAATAAAGACTAGAATGAGTTGTTGTTTAGCTATAAAGCAGACAGAAACTTCACACACCCAACTTAAAACTGTATGCAGATTAGATGTTTTACATAAGAACAGCACTTTGAAGCACATTAGGGTCTTTTATTGAACTATAATTATTGGTGTCAAATCTCTTCTGAAATTCCTCACCTTTGAGTCACTTGGGATAAATGACCAAGTGTAAATAAAAGGGGACAAACACACCTTAACCACAAATAATTACGGCATTCTTTTTAATGAACTACTGTTCTCCATACTTATGTTACCCTCCAGGCTTCCAACATCACACCATGTAGTAAAACCCCAGGAACAAGACTTGAGGCATAAAGGCATTCCTTCAATTAGCATACAAGGCTACAGAACGTAGAATTTAGAGATTAGAGCTGCAGTTAAAAGCAAACCTGCACCTCTTATCACAGGGAAAAAAAAGGAATCTGACCATTGCTTTGTTCCTTGGCGGCTAATCTGTTCTAGTGAGATAGATAATCTTATCAAGCAGAGGATTTTCGCCATGGTTGTCCTGTATCTTCTCATTTTACCCAGTTAAGATCAATAAATGAATAGATTAGATGAAGAAAAGAGTTTGGATAAAATATATGTAATTACTTACTGTTATAACACATCCTTCTTGAAAATCACTCCCACCTTTGGTTAAGGTAAAAACAGTTTACATTATATAATCTGACTCTTGAAACTAAAGTCTAAGCTTTAATATCAATATTGAATTTAATCACACAATAGGAAATAAAAGCTGGATAAGTAAACGGTTAATAAAAGGAAAAGGTCTATACTAAGATATGGTTCACTTCTAAGGAGAAAAATCATTAATGCAGGGAAGTCATCTTTAAAATCTCATCAAAGGGACTTTTTTTTTCTCATTAAAAGGCCAGAGGAACATCATGATGTTTTCAAACTATGAAAAAATGAAAATATGCAGTCTTTGAGGTTACATGCATTTCATCAAAATAATGTTCCAAAAAAATATGGCTTCATTTATCTAAAAAAAAACTTTTTCAAAGCTCACCGTTGGAGATCGAATACAAAGATTGGCTCCGTAGAGTTAGAGTTCCAATCGTTACAATTCATCTCAAATCTTTGCCAAAAGTGACAATAATTGTGAAAGGTAGAAGAAAAAAAATCTGATGCTAAATATTTTTTTTAGATTGTTATTTGAGTCATTACGACTGACTCTCTTGTGCTTTCCATTCTGGATAATTACAAGGATCTTTAAATCAATGCCCCATAAAGTCCCTCATTATTTTACTATGACCAAACTTAAGCTGATGCGCCTTCATTCATCAGGCTCACTACCTGCTTCTGCCCTTCAGCTCTCCCGCCTCTCATCCCGCAAGCAACGGAAAAAAGATGACTGCAGGTTCCTGAGCCAATATACACAGCAACTCACATTTCACCATGTCACCACTTGGCAATTACACAATGGCTGTCTTTGTTGAAATACACAAACAAAAAGGTATTCCTTTTCAAGACATGGGTATCAGTGAAGATGTAGCAAAAAAGAATGTTAGAAGTTAAAGTTCTTGTTCCTTTTTCTTTTCATTTAGAGTTACAACATTAGTTCTGAGTGAACACAGACCAGATGTAATCTCCATCTTAACTGTAACTACTAGCAAAGTATATCATATTCTCTTTTTCATGTAGGATGCCTCAAAACTAATTGAATGCAAATAAATACTACCTAATTATATGTATTTATATGCCGTTAACTGGAAAACATAAATCTAAGCTTGAACAAACTTTCCCCGCCTTATAAGAAACGTTTGGTAAAAAGGAGATCAATATTAAGATAACACCATAGCAACAGCTGTTTTGGCAAATTCCACACAAAAAAACTATTATGAAAAAAAATCTAATTTTTCTTATAAAACAACAGCAACTATTAGCTTTTCTTACATTCTGTAGGATATAGCCGGAAAATGTAAAACCGTTTACCAAAGACAAAAAGTAGCTGCGAAATAAAAGGAGATAAAAAATAAAAGGAGATAAAAAAAAATAAAAAAAACAACATAAACACCTATTAAACAACCCTGTCTTCAAGTGAAGATTTGTCTTAGTTGCAAATGGCTATTTTTCTATGTTTCCTATAATTATGCCACATATCCACAAGTTTAATTCTGTTCCTGAAAACAATTTGAAGATATTATAAACATTTAAAATTAATGTTAGACATACTGCTTTTAACCTCGTAATAGCAGTCAGCACTAATTCCGTATCAAAACTAGCTCTAAACTGAAGAGAAACAGTCAGCTCTCATGTGACGAGACTAAATAAAAACCAGGTTAAAAAAGGGAAAAAAGAAAGCTCTTTGAGGATGTCTGCAAGTGCGACTTTACTCATTTCCACAAGAGGGTAGCTGTGCTGAAGTGCAAAATATGTGCATGTCTGAGTGAGTACTCATAGTATCAGTATACATGCTCCAGTGTATACATGATGACCATTGGGTCTGATTATTCAGTATATTATTCAAAGAACAAATCTACATTGTCTAAATGTGATGGGATTGTCTTGAGGAAAACTATTGCTCAGTGAAGTTTAAATATGAAGTTAATTCATTTAGACAGCTTAAGAGGGTTATATTAATGACCAAATGGGGTGTCAGGAGGTTCACGGCCCGGCTTGAACTAGAACACTTGCGTCATTCGCTGCTGTGAACACCAGAAATTCCCCATTGTGCGACAATAAAGGGATTTTCTATTCTCTCTAAAAAGAAATAAAAAAAAGGCCTTTTTCAGAACAACTTGAGAATCTTTTTTGTCTTACCTCTACTAAAAACATCTGCCTCTCTCCATTGTTCCAGAAAAACTGCAACAAATCCTCTGCCAACTGTGGTCACTCAGTTTTCCACCACTGGTTACCTCTCTGCAGCACCAAGTTGAACAGTTCCATGCTCTAATCAGATCCAGATCACTCAGGAAGTACCCCTCACTGACAATCCTCTTCATGCAGCTTGAAAAGTCAACTTCTTTTATAAGGAGGCTTGTTGGAGAAGCAACCTGTTTAGCAGTCCAAACACTCCCAAGTCCAGAAGGCAAGCAGTGAGGGCAGAGAGGTGACGTCTCTATCTGCACTATCTCTGATCCCACTGTGACTGTGAGCTCTTGGGGCAGTGAAGCCTTGTCAGCCCCTCCCTTATTTTTCCCCTAAAGAGCAAATCGCCTGGCTGTCTCTGCACTTCAATCTCTCTCTCTTACAGACACACACACAAATACACTTCAGAATCAACACCCCCCTCACCCATCGTCTCTATCTCCACATTCCCTTCCTCCACCGGCATGACACAGAGCCCTGCAGCCAGCACCTCAGCGAGACGATGGATTCCTAAAAGCCAGATGATATGTCTGCTTACTTCCCACTCTATCTTTTAATTTCCAAACCTATTAGCGGACATTATATCATACCAGTTTAACTGTTCAGATTTCCAGTGGCATAGACAACAGTTTGTCATTTTCTCTCCTTTATGGCTAAATCTCATATGAAATTCCAAGTACTGAGGCAGATTAGCACATGTTCCAGTTTTCTCTGTTATAACATGGCATTTATGACCGTTCAGGCTAATATGTTTGATACCATTTGTTATTCCTATATCCCATTAACAACCACTTATTTTTCTCGGTACGGACATACGTTTAAGACCTTTACCCGCAATATCTCCACACCTGGTTATTTGGGTCTATTCTGTTTTGAAGATTATAAATCATTTCAAAGGCAGTTTTTCCTTACTAAAATATCTCATGTCTTGTTTGTGAGTCTGAAGTTAAATATTAACCCTGCTTCCTCTTGAGTTGGACTCATCCATCTCAGGAAATTCTCATGGTCGAGATCTGTCCAGTCCCACCCTCCCCTTGTAGACATCTCCGCCGCCCTTCTTCTTTTGCAGGTCTGAATGATGTAGAGGAGAGGGGTCCCCTGTTCTCATCTCTCACTTCAGGCCACAACAATGAAGTAATTGTTAAACACTTCGGTTCACAAAACCCTCGTCGATCCGACAGATGTAGCAATGAAGAAATTCTTTCTGAAAATAAGAATGAAAGCCACTAAAATTGTCCCAGAAAAATGTTGCATAAGTAAAAACAAACTCGCTGGATGAGACTGGAGCTATTTGCTGGGCTTATTTGGTCAAGTTGTGCGCCATCCGTCAATGTGAAAGGCTGAAAAGAAGCAACAGCTTCGTTTAAAGAGTCAAAGATGAGAAATGAGTTTACTCAATTGTCCCATAGACAAAAATGCCCTCTCGTCTGACAACCCAACAAAGTCGGCTTCCAAATAGGGCAGCGGTGCTGTTTGTCACATGCCATAACCTGTTACAAATGAGAAATGACTCACTTGGCTAATTAGCTTGGGAGAGAGAGTTTCTCTGTGTGCTTGAAGAGGAGACTTTCTATGCTTCTTTTTTTTCGGGCCTACCAATTCATATTCAGACGAAGAGCATAGCTGTCGTGTCATAAGGTAAACCTTTCAGAAAAGCTTCTAGGTTTTCCACCATCCTTGGCAGAGCATTGCAAAAGTTTCTCATTATTCCGTCAATAGAATGGTTTGCGTGGGTTTCCAGTGATACTCATCTGGATATGCATTTCAGATGCACATCATATCTTATTTCGGCAGATGGGTCTAGAAGACGACCTCTGTTTTTTTCTTTTCTATCTAAAAGCAAAGCACTTAATCCTAATAATGAAAACAGGGAAAGAGCGGGTGAAGAATGCTGCTGCATGAATAGAGGACAGGACCGAGGACGAGTGGCTTAAAGGGAGACAATGGACAGAAATCTGTCTTTCAGACTAGGCCTGGGCTCTTGGCCAGAGACCTATGGTTCTTTAGAAAACAAAACTGACCTAGCTGTCTCTTTGGCTTCCTCCTAAATGAATATAAAGGGTTCAACAGTGCAAAGAAAGAAACACAAATGTATTATAAATAATAAAAATTGTTTTTATAGTTTCTGGTGCCTCTTAATATTCAGAGCAAGTGATTGGTATATTTAAAAAAGGCTGTAAGATGGTGATGATATGATGAGACTGTCGACATATAGAGTGGATTTAAGGTTGAGGCTACACATAGATAATAGATATAACGCAACGTTAAATCTATTATGTAATCCGTAGTCAGACATAGATATTTTGTGTACATTTTATGGAAGCAACACCGCTTGGTCACAGTTCTAAGCTTCTAGCTTAAATATCAAAGTAAGGAAGAGGCATGCAATGTAAATCATCCTTTTTCATGTTGGGATTTTTTGGTAATGATTTTATTGTTTATTTCTGTTTAAAAAGTAGCTATAAAAAGCTACAAAAGAGCAGTATTTACATTAATATATGTGTATTGGCATATGGAAGCCGTGAACATTTTCATTTTAAGCTGTTACAATCTAAAACTGTAAGTGAAATTGTGCACTGACAAGAGATGTCGAGAAAAGTTACAGGTGTTCCTCCACTTTTTAGAGCTTAACTGTCTCGTTTGTGACTAGATATTTTCTTATAATAGCAGGTAAGATAGCTATATTGCATATTTTGTTTTGCAATAAATACCGTACAGTGCTATCTAAAACAGAATAATACGTGTCTCTCATGTGATTATATTCAAAAGAGTGAAGCTGTTTAGGATGTCTCTTACTAAGATCAAGAGTTTTGGGGCTTTAATATTTTATGCCAAGGTTGTAATATGCTATCTTGAAATAATCATAAGAAGAATTAGAATAACAAAACTAAAAAGTATTTTTATCTACATTGACTTAAAGTTTTTTTTTATTATTTTCAGATTAAATAATGATCTACTCTATTTCCATAGATCTTGTATATCTTGGCTTTGCTGATAAAGAAAAGGAACCAAGTTTTTATTGCATTGAAGTATTATTTCAATGTTAAAGCAAGTAAAATCTGAAAACTGTTGGAGATAAATCTTTTGATCAACTCCCCCCAGGGACCTTTAATGCAAGGTTTTCTCTCCTTGACAAAGGGGTAAAGACTGGCATGTCAGACAAGATTTAGTTACCTTTTTCTGCATTTGAATCCAGGTTGAAACTAGACACCAAGTGCATAAAGACACCCAGCACACTTTCATGGCTCCACCTTTTATCTGTCTTGAGGAAGAGAGCTTAGCTGATAATTTGGCCCTTTCTTGCACCGTATTGTGGAGGGATGGCTTACAAGGTAAACATGCTCCTTTGGCATTGTGTTCTACTTTCACATTTAACAGATATTTACACCTGAAGCCTGTCAGGAGAGTCTCACCTCCAGGAGGTGAAAAGAGATTTGCTCGATCATTTAAAGTAGGGTGGTAGACATTTGTCGGTTGTTTGAAAGCTCAACCAGGACAGTTACGTGTCTGAACGTGTTGAAGGGCAGTTTGTCATAAAAGTCAAACTCAAACAGACCAGAGACCATTCCAGGAGCTAAAGAGACATAAAGTACAAAGAAACAATTCAGCATGCGAGAGTGTGCAAATAGCTCTGCATAATTAAACATGACTTAAGTGGTTGCATTTGTCAAAGTCACAAATATGTGTGATGTAGGCCCACAATTCTGACAGTGGCAGTGTGAAAATAACACAGCTATGTCACAAACAATGTAAACAGTCAAATCTATAAGGAAGAGGTCTACCTGATCACCTAAAGTATATTCATCCAGACTCTACCCAAAAATGACCTCAATGCCTTGACAAGCAGCTTAAAAAAATGTAGAATTCACATAACTCCCCCACTCCCAGAGAAACATCTCAATTCACATCCACTTTGAATTCACCGTTTCAAACCCATTCATGCCTTTTTTACGCTGACAGACGCCTCTCAGCAGCCTTTCACGCCAAGAAAGTAGACCTTCAGTTCTTCCTAACAAGGCCCACCGGCTCAACTTGCCTTTTTCTGCAGCGTATCAGGTCCGCCGAGCTCCTTTGTAGTTAGTCCTGCCAGGTCAGTGTTAATATTCTTTGACACTCATGCTCCAAGTGTAGTTTAACTTTCTAGCTGTAAAACTTTCTGCTGTGATTTGTTAACCACTGCAAGGTGTTGGCTACACACCTCTAGGATGACAGAAGTGGCAATAAAAGAACTATAAAATGCAGGAAATCGTCAACTGTGAAGGAAGCATGGGCAGGAATTGGGTTTTAAACATTTGCATTCAACCTCTTAGAGACTCAAAAACCTTTGCCTTATTGCATCCGATTCAGTAAATAAATCTTGGCATAGTCTCTTGTAATAGGCCTGGAAAGATTCTGAGTAAAGCATGGCTGACATAATCCAAAAGGTTGGTGTAGCTACTGTAAGTCGGGGTATTTGTGTGTGGGGTTAATGCATCAACTACTAGAAAAAATGTTGAGAATGGACATTGGTGTGGCATTCATGCACACTAAACATATGTAAACTTATGAGTTTAATAATATTTCAAATAAATAGAAGAACACTTTAACTAATGGAGAAAACATTATAACTATAGACAACATAATAACTATAGAGAACTATAGAAATATATCCTTTATTGCCTATCATACAGGGAAGGAGAGAGTCTTGTGCACTCTGTCTAACTCTGATTTGATCATGTTAAGTGATGCATTCCTTCTTTAATAAAAGCCAGATGGACATTTACCCTTCACTTTAAAAGGGGTGTATGTGTGTCTGTGATTGAGTGTGTGGGCTTTTAAGTATGCTGCAATCCTAGCATTGCTTCACATCCAAATTCCAACTTAAAAAAGGAAATGTACAATGGATCAGGCAGATGTGAGGAAAATCTACAATGTTACTGGATATCATGGCTGTTGGCATAGTCCAGCTGTTGTTATCAGACATGTATTTCATATTTTAACATGTGAGGGTTTCCAAACTTCTGATAAATCAATATTTCTTTTAGTTTAAAGTGCTTTAAATAAAATATGCTAATATCCCACTTTAAAAAAAACATCTCAATTTAGCTGTTTGGAAAGATTTTCAATATCTAATAGATCAATGTCTATTATTAGACACTGGCATGGGCCTTTGTGAGACTTGGCATGATACCTTTGAGTGACAAATAGCTTCAAATAGTGTCTACTGATCCGTAAATTTCATGTATTAACCATTATATTTTAGATAACATTGATTTATTGCTTTATGAAGAATGACAGAATGAAAAAATATAGGC